CCCTTGTAGTGCTTTTCAGTAGCATAAGCCTGGAATTGACTGTATACATTAACAGCAGTGCAAATGTCAGGTCTTGTTGACATGCACGCATACATTAAACTACCAATAGCACTTCTATATGGACGTCTCCCAATAATATAGGGATCATTATTAATTGCAAGGTCTGGATTTATCTCCATTGGAGTTTGGACTGGCTTTGCAGAGTCAGGGTCTAATTTTCTGATTATTTTTGAGACATAGTTATCTTGAATTAAAATCATTCCGCTGCTTGTTCTCCTGATTCTGATACCTAGAAAATAAGCGGCCTCCCCCAAATCTCTCATTTTAAAAGTACTCATTAGTTTCCCCTTAATTTCAGACAACAAATCTAAATTAGCACAAGCAATAAGAAAATCGTCAACATACAGCACAGTACCTGCATCACACTTCTTTATGTACACACATCTGTCAGCTTGACACTGAGTGAAACCCAAAGCTTTGACACATTCATCAAACTTGTGGTTCCACTCCATGGGAGCCTGTTTCAGTCCATAAAGAGTCTTTCGCAGTTTACACACTTTGCCTTCTTCTACTGACAGTCCAGCTGGTGGCCACATGTAAATTTTCTCCTTTAAATCCCCATTTAAAAATGCACATTCAACATCCAACTGATGTACTATTAAGTTTAATTTATTGACCAGACATAGAAAAATTCTAACTGTTGAAAGCTTTGCCACTGGTGCATAAACTTCTGAATAATCTTCCCCATATTTTTGAGCACACCCTTTAATGACCAATCTAGCTTTATATCTCTCAATGTTACCATCTGCATCTAATTTGATATTGAAAACCCATTTACTATTAATTGGAGTTTTACCCCTTGGGAGTGAACACACTTCCCATGTAGCATTCTCTGAAAGTGAAGTTAATTCCTTATTTACAGCAGCCAACCAGAAGACTTTGTCATCTCTCACACTAATGCTGTCATAATCAGCTGGTACATTGTCAACATTCTCCACCTCAGTCACCGAACTGACTCCTGCAAACTCAAGTACATCATTACTACAATTTTCATCAGTAATGTCATCCACAAATTTTCCTACCGTGCATAGCATGACATAGTCATCATACATGGCAGGCCTCATTCTGACTCTGGTGCCCCTCCTGCCACCTTCACCCACTGCAGCTGGTTCATTATACTCCTCCAGCTCTGGCTCAAAGGGTTGCACACCCTCTGGCTCCTCGTCTCTAAACTCCATAACATCATTTTCACCTTCATCGTCAGATTCCTCCTCAATTTGTGTTTCAACAGTACCATGAAAATTACCACCATAAATAACATTGAAGTTGTCAAAATTATTTAGGTTTTCGTTAAACACAACATTCCTACCTACAATAATCTTATTGTCTGTCACAGACCAGAACTTATAACCATTATCACAATATCCAATTAAAATACATATCTTAACCCTAGAATCCAGTTTGCCAGCAATTTGCTGTTTATTTTTCCTAACATAAGAAACACAGCCAAATACCTTTAGGTTTTCCAAGTTGGGCTTTCGCCCTGTCCATAGTTCATAGGGAACTACTCCGCCATCAATTGCCCGGGTTGGGGACCTGTTTGTCAGATAGACTGCGGTTAGAAGGGCATCAATGCAAAATCTCTTGCTGAGGCGGCTCCCAAACAGCAAACATCTGGCCCTCTCCAAGAGAGTTCGGTTTAATCTTTCCGCTACACCATTGAGCTGTGGCGTTCCTGGAATTGTCAATTCAAACACAATACCCTTTTCCTGGAAGAAATGTTTGACAGTGTCGTTAATATACTCAGAGCCATTGTCACATCTAAATTGGCTAATACCCCTTGGAAATAATACGGAAACCCTAGCAACATAGGCCTTGATGCACTCAGCTACTTCCTCGCTCTCTTTACTCTTTAAACCATACACCACAATATAGTGAGTGTAATCATCAATAATTGAGAGAATGTATTTAACCCCGTTATAAGCTACTGGAGAAATAGGGCCACATAAATCACTGTGAACCCTTTCAAGTGGTCTCGTTGTTTTGGGCCTTGTTCCCCCAAAAGGTAACTTGGCCTGTTTGCCTTCAATGCAAACTTCACAGAATTTATCCCCTTGAAATTTCAATTTGTCTATACCGTTAACCATATCACACAAACGTCTCATATTATCACACCCTAAATGACCTAGTCTCCGGTGCCACAGATTTTCCTCCTCTGTCATCATTGAACGTTCGGGCTGACTAAACAGACCCACCTCCAACACAAACAAATTCCACTTCAAATTACCAACAGCAAGAACCTCGTTGTCATACTCAATATAGCATTTTCCGTCACCAAAGCTGGTCCAATAACCTTCGCTGTCCAAACAAGGTATCGACAGGAGGTTATGGGATAAGTCATCCACGATCAGAGCCTCCAGCTCAAACTTTCTGGAGACTCCATCAACCACAGTGTAGCCACTAACAAGGGCCTTTGATCGTGCCAGCATACAAATGTCGGTTTTAGCTACGAGTATCTTCACTGGATTCGAGAGGGTTCGTTTCTGTGACACTGGGACATCAGTCTTCACTAGATGTCGAGTAGCACCCGAATCAAGAGTAAACACAACACAAGAGTTGCCATAAACACTCATGGCCAGGTCACTTACTTGCACGTCACAAGTCATAAGACTATTAACAACAATAGTTTCCATTACCTCAGTTTCCTCGGAGCTACAGAAGTCATAGCCACTGTCTTCTGTAATTAAAGCAGACGACCCTCCTCCAGAGCCACTGCCCCCTCGGAAACCACCACGGCCTCCACGGTTTCCTCGGGATGAGAAACTGCGCCCTCGGTTGCTGAATTGGCCACGGCTTCCCTGATGTCCACCAGAGTTTCCTCCTTGGTTGTTGCTGTTGTTGCCGTTGTTGTTGCCACTCTGGTAGTTTCCTCGGTGATGTGGCTGTCCACCTCTGGCGGACTTCTGGTGGTGACCTCCACGATGAGCACCCCCTCCTGGCTTGGCGCAGTCACCAGACTTGTGTCCCCTAAATCCACAGTTATTACAGTTGTACGGGAAAAATCTATTCATTCCACGACCTCGACCTGTAACATTAAGAGCATTAAAACTCGAAGTGGGAGAAGTACCAGAGCCACCCCTCCTCTTCCGGTTGACTCCAGTTCGTAGTTCGTACTCTTCAATTTTGTTTCTGATAAAAGTCAAGTTTATATTAGATGGGTTTGCCTCAATGGCTGAGGTCTGAGCCTCATACTCCCTAGGCAAGCTCCACAAAAAGTGGAAAGCCACGTCCTCCTCTGTGTGTGAGCCACCTGCATTCCGCAGGCCTCTGACCACTTTGTCAAAGCGCATGCAGTATGCGCCAAACTCCTCCTCAGAGGGTTTGTACTTGAGCATGGTGTACTCCTTAGAGAACACCGCTCTGCTGGCCATAGTGGCCCTTCCAAACCTGTCACAAACACTCTTCCACATCTCAGCTGCATTATCCTTGTCCTTCAGCAGCTCGAGATGGTCAGTGAGGCCCACTCCAAGCAGGCGACGGCATCGGTTCTCCTTCGATTCCAGGGCTGCGATCCTCTCCTCCTTTCGCCTCCTAGTAGCTGCATTATCGCCAGGGGCATCCAACCCCACAGCCTGGATCAGATCACCGACCGCCGTAGTGGACACGTCGAGGCAGCCTTCGTCCCGGAGAACGTTTTGCATCAAGAACTTCCAGTCATCGAAGTTTGACCCATCAAACTTGCCCAGGAGAAAAAGGCTGAACACGGCTGAACAAAAAATATTCGGCCACGGCCGAAGAAATCTTCGGCCGTGGCCGAACGGAGACGAATAGATTGTTCAGCCGTGTTCAGCCGAAGTGTAATAATATTCAGCCGCGGCCTAAGACGTTCTTCAGCCGCGGCCAAGGGATGTTCAGCCTCCTTCGGCCGCGGCTGAAGAGGGCAGAAGGGGCAATTCTTGCTCAGAAACGCATGTGCATGCATTTTTTTAAATACTTCCTTGCGATCTTGTTGATACACTTCAGCATGCTTGAACCTGAAGGCTTGAACTCATATTGAGCATATATGTCAATCCTCTGAAAGACTTACTAAAGAAAAAAAGAGCCAGCGTTTCAAAAATAAATAACTATAGTTTAATCATTAATGAAAAAATTAGCTATTCAATAACTTACCACAGTTAAATTGAGAATTTACATAATTAGCTATTTGACAAAGGCAATATCATTATTGGACTCATTCTTAAAGACACAGTGGCACACTTATTCCAAAAGTGACAATACAATACAATTTATATTACACTACAATCTACAATTCAAAACAATTTACAATTCAATACAGTTCACATTACAATTTACTATACATGACAAGTTTTAGTGCATCAATAGCATCACTGAAAAGTACACAAAGCACACTTTAATTTCCATTAATCCTCTTCTGAGTCCTGATAAACCTTTTTTTTTTGCATTGGTGAGTGCACATCCAATGTAATCGTTAACCACCCTTGGCCTGCATCTCGATAGAATTGAGTCTTTCTGGAAATCTTCTGGTAGTTCAGCATTGATACGCGTCTTAATAAAGTTCCTAAAGCAGAAAAGGAAAAATTATGTCACACTGTTCAGGACTTAATAGGCTAGTGCTAGAAATTCAAATACTCACGCTCAATAGCTGCTTTTCTCAGTGGGCACAGGGCTGCACCAACATTGTTGCCATGTGTCTCTTTGCGTGCATTGCACATTGTACCTTTTACTGTGCTCTGCACCAGCTCTTCAATCTTAAACAGTTTCTCAGTGAGGTCGATCACAAATTTTTTATCGTTAACAGACCCCGGCATATGCATTGCGCTCTTCAGGAACTTCTTGTACTCTTCGGTGTACGCCACCTCACTGATGTACACCCCATCATGAATTTTCACAAGTCCACCACTGGGATCCTGGAAACAAATTAAGTGCTTTAAGTCCTGGTATCACCAAGCATATGAGGCAGGAGAAGTAATTAAGGATACTGTAAAGTGAAACTAGCATGTTCTAGAAATATTTGCCACAGGAAGATCATTTTGTGGTCACAATTCAACCACTATTAGATGAATTTATCCCCAAAGTTGGGGGCCCCAACTCCTATTAGTGTCTGAGTTATGGAAGTTTACGTAAACTTTTAGTCGTTTCTCCCAAATTCTCCTCACGACAAATGATTAGCTACCCAGTCTTCAGATTTTGGCAGTTTTTCCTTTTTTAGCATGGGAAAAAGATAGCGTTGGCAGATTTAAAGGTATCAGTTGAGAAGAGGCTGTAAAAGCTATTCTATTAGGCCTATTCTTATTTTTCTTCAAATTTGTGAGATTTTGACCCATTTTGGTCTTGGGTTTTGGTTTTTCAGGAAAACTAAGGCAGACATTAAAAAAAGGGCAACGCTATCTTTTTCCTATTAATAAATAGATAAAATTGCCAGAATCTGAAGACTGGGTAGCTAATCCTTTGTCGAGAGGAGAATTTGGGAGGAACGACAAAAAGTTGACGTAAACCTCCATAACTCAGAAACTAAGAGGAGTTGGGGCTCTAGTCTTAGGGTACGAGTTTATGTAATAGAAGGGAACTTTCACACCTTAATTGAGACATCTGACACAAGTATTTAAAAAATGTCATATAGCCACTTTTGTCACTTTACAATAACCTTAAACTATGGATTTCCTTGCCTTTGGCATGTCTGCAGTCTCATCATGTTGGGTGGCCTGGTCGTCCTGCATGTCACGATCAGTCTGCAAATGAGAGTTACTCAAATGAATGTGGATATTATGCACAAGATCATTGACCAAACTATAGATTTTTATGGTGAAACTCACCTCCCCTTGGGCATTAGTCGATTGTGAAGGTTCAGTGGGCGTTACTTGCTCTATCCGAAGAACTTCCACAGTGTGCACAGCTGATGTTGTGTCATCAGCTACAGCAGGTGCTACCTTGGCAAGCTGACAAGAAAAAAACCATAAACAAAGGCACAGCAAAACTGCACGCAAACACAATCACAGTTGATGGGTAATCTCACCAGAGTCTTTTGATACTCGAAATTAAGATCCTCGAGCCGTTGGATCTTAGTACGGGAAGCCTCAAGCTCATCCTGCTTGCGCTTGAGGTCCTCAGTCAACCGAAGCACCTCTTTCTTGTGCCTTCGGGCCTCCTCCTTGTATCTGTTTTTGTCTTTTTTGAGAGCATTGATCTCAAGCTGCAAGGCCGAAGTTTGCTCAGGGTCTTCATCTTGCATTTCCAGAAAAGGAACCGGTGAATTCTAAAAACAGAGGAACAGAAAATGTCAGCACATTAACTCAAGTGAGTGCAACATAATTCTAAAGGATTTGAAATCTCGGAAAACAATGAGTGCACACAAAGGGAAATAATAAATTCAGAATTCACTTACATCTGGGCCCCTTTTGGAGTTTGAGCTGGAGGAATGGACACCTGATGAATCTGAAGATTTTAACGATGAGGATGATGAGGAAGATTTTGACGATGAGGATGATGAGGAATGTAAAGTTTCCAAAACTTTGGGTGAGGGCCTGCAAGTCCTGACCTTCCTGTGCAGCAGTTCTGATAGTGTATCTGCAAATACACACCAATATTGGCATTATTATTGGCATATTTCATTAGAATTAAAAATTAAGTTCACCGTTCAAGGCGCATACTCAAAGTACCTGCAGTAGCAAGGATGGTTGCCGGATACATTCCCGGCCCGGCCTGGTTGTCTGACCCGGCTTCAAAGTCAGGAATCGTCGCCAGTCGCTTCTTAGCTTCTTGCAACGTTTCCATGCGTTTCCCGATGGTTTTCGGGGACCAAAACGCACTCACAACCTTATTTTTGGTGAACTTGGTCCCCTTAACCTCAGGAATGCAACACAGTGGGATGTCGGCGATGCTCTTCTTTTGATCCAAAAATTGGACAGTGCCATGGGGAGTCTCACTTAAGGCAAGATGAGTAGTGCCCTCTGTGGATTTAGTTGGTTTGGGCATTCTGACTTAGGTACCTCTAATTAACACGAAAGAAAACTCGGTGCAACCGCTTCGACGCTTTGGCTGGAGAGAAAGGACGCTACGCTGTAACCAAGGAAACGGATGAGCGACCACGACCACGGGCGATCACGTGCATCTATGAAAAGTTTTTGAGGCAAGTTCCTTTGAATTCTTCCACTGTACGCATATGACACTACTTTTATTCTCCGCGAATTTTCCAGTCAATGTCTTTATAATATTAGAATGCACCCTATTCCGTGTCAGTATCTTTTGAACACCTGGGTGAGCGTAGAAATCAGTTTCGCAGTGATGTTATTTCTCATATATGATTCGATATCTCGATCGTGGTCGCAACAACGCTCGATAGCTCGATAGGCTTGATTACTCGCGAGGCAGGCACAGACGTAAACAAAAAACTTTGCCTATAAGTCGTTTTCTGGGCTGGAAATTAAGAACTCTTCACGTATACAGGTGTTATTGTTTCAATATCACTGTTTCAGAGCAGAAGCAAGCATGCATCGGAGGCGGCTGAACGATTACCGGCAATACTTGGAGGGGAAACGTGACTCTGCTGTTCCAATTTCCAACCGTACTGCTCGTGCTTGGTTAGAGCAAGGAAAAGCAACTGCAACAGAACTAGTTGCATTGGGAATATACCCAGTTAAGGTCCGTTTCTATCTTTGTACTTGGAATCAGTCGTTCCCCACTCTGCATTTCATTTTGCCTCAGTACAGTTTGCATAACCTTCAAATTGTCGCTAACGTCACCTGTCAACATCACCTCCCTCTGGGTGTTGTTTAGTTCCTGGCCTTTTTGGCTGTATCCAGTCAAGGCTTCTGACCAATTCTGACAGCTAAATGATTTTCACCTGCATGTTTTCAAAAATTATTTGCTTCATACTGCTCACAGTCTAAATTGTGAGTGCATCTGTCCCATAACCTATTAAAGCCTTCAAAGATTACAAGGTAGGTTTACGCCAGACCGCGTCTTGTCGTAACAGGCTTCGCGATGTCTCGCTGCCTGTTTCTCCAATCCGCGCCTGGCGTACCTACCTTGGCCTGCGGCGCTAGCCTGCCTTCGGCAGGCAATGGCTTCTCCATAGTCGATTTTCCTAACTTGTTGCATGCTGGGGGTCTCCGCCCCCCAGACCCCCCTTCATTCTAGATGGAGTTGCTTCATCTGCAGATAACGCGATCTTGGCCCTTGTAGCTTTTTCACTTGTCCTGGCTGGGGGGCTCCGCCCCGCAGACCCCCTTTCTGCAAGACAGAGGCAATTTGCCTACAGAAAACTCGATTTTTCGCCGTTTTTCAAGTGTTTTTCGGCTTTAAAAACCAAACCAGTTGAGCTAGGATGGTGAAATTTCGCGTGTGCCGAGCCAAGGACATACCTAATAAGCCTGCAAAATCTCAGCCGGATCGGCCGAGCCGTTCAGGAGAAGTAGTGTACACAGACACACAGACAGACAGACAGACAGACAGACAGGAAAAATTTTTCAACCCCACTGGAGTAACAGGCTTCGCTATCGCTCAGCCAAAAACCAGGTACGATTCAGAATCAGAATTGGTCGGAGAATCCTTAACTTGATAAGCCTTCGTTCACTTTTCCATTGCCTGAAACGCTTCATGTTCTTTCGTTTTAGGCCCAACAAGGCAGAAAGGTGGGGGAAGAAAAAGGAAGAGAATCGTTTCAAGTAACAATGCAGACATCCTTGAGCGAACAACATCTTCGGAATCTGGTTTTGCAGAACATCAAGGCTGTGCACCTAGTTCTTCAGCCAACCCTGAAGAGCACCTGCTACACATCAACTCAACTTCTACCAGTGGCAGTGACGATGACTCTGAGGGTGGAACTGCGTCTTTGCATGGAACGACTGCCTCTGGGCTTAGTGGTGGTGATACTAATTCTGTTCGCTCTGACTTAGATCTTGGTGATGATTCAAGTGGTGATAGTGGCAGTGATTCAGAAGGAAATAGAATTTTGTCGGTTTTAGACTCTAAAAAAATAGGTAAAGAAGCTTTGAACTCACCCTTTTATGAAGGATCCAGGCTTTCTAAATTTGAAGTAATGCTCATGATTTTTCACTTGTATATGAGACATGGTTGCACTGATGCTCTCTTGGAGGATTTGATATACTACACTAATGAAATATGTGGGATTTCTGATGCTAAGGGAGGGTGGGGCACCATGACCACTGGGGCACCATGACCACCCCCCTCGCTCTCGGGAACTACTTTGCCGACGGCAACCGGTCGACCGGACTTTCGAGAGAATAGAATTCTAACTATTTTCAGCCAGAGCCCTACCTTCTAGCTTCAAGGGTACGACCATAGCACCTCGCCAAAATTTTTGTTACAGCGTTTTGGCTAAATTGGGCGTTTTTCAAATCTGGGATATTTTTTCTCACTCTCACATTTGAGAAGATAGGTTCGATGTCTTAGGTTTTTCTCAAAATGTCGGCTCTTCGACGAAATATCCAACATCACATTTAATTCTAAGTAGTTGTTTGCTTGCTCGGGGAGCCTTAGAGTCGTAAACTGCACTGTGGGGCACCATGACCACTTTTTAGTGGGGCACCATGACCACACATATTTGAGTGTTTTTTCTCATATTTTGGCCTGATAATGATTTATTTTCGTCGAAAATTTGCTTTTTGCTTCTGAAAATGTATAAAGGTTGAATAATTGCTGCAGAATAGAAAGTTTTATCACAAATTTGTGATAATTTGTGAATCACCAAGGTGATTAAGAATGGTTCTGAAACTGAGACTTGAAATGGTGGTTTCTCTTGCACTAAATGAGCTCCAAACCGCAAAAGTTGGCCGCGAAGGCGATCCGTGGCTACTTTGCACCAAGATGGCTCTGGCATTATGAGAAACAGCATTTAATTCACTTGTTTGCAGTGTAGTAACCGCGATAATTTTCTTAAAATTTACCAAATTGAAATCTGCATACGAATTTGGACTCGTCTTAGTAAGACAAACATAAAATGTTAACACATGTCATAGCTTTGGATGTGAAATTTGAAAGCCTTAGAGCGTTAACTGTTTTAAACCGTCCATTTCAAGGCATCTTAGAACGTTTGATACTTCGAAGGTTTTTACAGTGTTTTTTAGTTTAGTTGACTGGCCTGATGGTAATGACAGCGATATAAACAATTTCAATGAGAATACTGGTAGAAAGTACACTTTTTTGGGCCAAAAAATTACTATGGTCATGGTGCCCCACGGGGTGGTCATGGTGCCCCATAGGTGGGGCACCATGACCACTTTGCGTTTTATTTTCCAAAGTGTTCTGTGAGCCTGCCGTGCATTGCAGACAAGTTCCAATGGGTGGAAGAGGTCCTTGGAGGTCCAAAGAATCCCCTCATGCTAGAAACTTAACTGTTCGAACCACACGGTGGAGTAGAGGGAGGCACAAAAAAAAAAGTGGTCATGGTGCCCCACCCTCCCTTATTCCAAGCTCTAAATATTATTTTCAGAAGTTGTTCAAGTTCGGGTCAGAACCAAGTGTCCACTTTTTCTGTCCAGATTGCCAAAAATATTTGGGTCCACAAGCGGAATTTCCTCAAGTTGTCAGGTGTCAGGACTGTGATTGGGTTCAATCATCCAGTAGCTTAAATGACAACAATTATTTTTGGCTGAGCGATAGCGAAGCCCTTGCCGTGTTTGGGCGCGCTCAAAAGTGACTAGTCGTGCGTCTGTCTGTCTGTCTGTCTGTCTGTGAGTCTGTTTGTACTCACCAACGATTCTCAGCAACTACAGTGGCTATAGTTTCAAGATTTCGTATTTAACGTCGCCTTAGCACCCCCCAACACGAGTTTGTTTCAAATCGTTGTTTAGTATCGTTTGAAATATTCAAAACATATTTTTGAATCAGGTCATTAGCGTGGTTAGGTTGGCAGCGCTGCACCGGTTACTAATTTCTCATACCTGCGGGTCCGCGGCTCTCAAATACGGGACATAAGCAAATAAAACGAATTAAAGAGCAGAAGGGTTTGGAAATGAGATCGGCCTTAGTTTTTCAACATTCTAGAATGTTTAAAACCCTTTTGGAACACCAACACAGCGAAATATGGAGAATGGATTTGAGAATGATTTACGTGTTTCGTTCCCCTCTCCCCCCTCCACTGTCAGAGGGGAATCATCTTCAGGTCAGTGCACTTTGACAAAGCATTGTAAAAAGAATGTTTTTATTTTGACCTTTTGTATTGTGTGCATCTTCTTATTTCATTTTAGTGTCATCCTCTTTTTAAAATTTTCAAACTAGAGGAAATCAGGGAAATGCATAAATAACTTGTGTTGAAATTGGCAGGCATACTTTAGTTTGGACTCGAGAAATGCATTCTTTTGCAATGCTGCAAGCTGACAAGAGTGCAAAAGCACTAACATGTGGGTCATTCCATGCCAACTCGACAGGGCTCGGACCGACACCTTGTCGGAGGCCATCGCCATAGTGGGCGATTGTTGGCCTTATGGTACCATTTGAAGACCCCAACTCAGTTTTTCGAAATCTGCACCGGGCTCCGAACTACGGCCTCCACTGAGATTCCAAACGCTATGAGTATAGCACATATGGTGCAATGCAGCTGAGATATCGCACCATACGTGCAATGCGATAGCCATATTGCACCTTACGTGCAATGCGTCCCGAAAATGCCCTATGCTAATGCATGGGAATGGGGAGGCATTGCACTTCATGTGCAATGCTTTTGCATTGCACCAATTGACGCTATACTCATAGCGTTTGGATTCTCAGTGTGATGAAGTTTTTCACATACATGACGACATGGGTGCACTAAAATGCAATTATCTCGGCAACCGTTCGTCGTATCTCAAATCCGAGACCACCGTTGGAAAGAGGAGAAAAAACTACACAAAAAAATTTTTTTTTGGATTTTTTTCGAAAAAAAATTGTGAAACTTCAAAAAAGGTGTAACTTTTACAGTGTGATATCTCAAAAACCCATATTTTAAAATCTCTCAAAAAATTCCAAAATCTTCCTTTATTCATCATCTAAAATAGTGGGGTTAATGAAACAGAAAAACCCCATAGAACGTTGCAAATTGGGTTACAAGCAAGCCACTTTGCACACGTCTTCTATTGACCCAAATGGTCGATTTGGCCCGAAGCACACGTCAAAATTTCCCTTAGGACTCAAGTGCGGGGGCGTTAAAGGTTAAAAGTGTTCAAAATTTTCGAAGTTTCAATTTTGACAGTTAAAATCGTGCGACGAGTGGTTTCCGCATTATTCGAGGTCGGGGAATTCATTGGCGATGTCAGAACAACGATGAGGTCACCGGAAGTACCGGAAATGGCCGCCATTTTGGATAATGGCGGCCAAATTCTTCGGATTTCGAACGGCTCCGCCACCAGTCGAGTTGGGTGTCGTTCCGATAGTTTCAGGGGTCTCTGAAGGCCACTGTGATGTCAAATTGAGAGTATTTAGCAGGGAAACACAGAAAAACAGTTTCTCAGCTGTGAAAAATAGACCTGAACGATGCAGTGCTTTCCAGGATAAAGTGAAGGAAACGCAGTTTCTCTGCTTTGGTAAATTAAACATGTTTGATGCGCTGAAATGACGTCTGTATAAATGTAAATATACTCTCATTTTAGGGCCAAAATTAATTTGTAACTGTCATATCTCGATCTCAAAATCTTGAAAGTATGTGAAGAAATCAAGATAGCTAACTACGTCAAGAAGAACCCAATACGAGAAGTGAGTGAAGGACAATGACCCTGCAAGTTCTATTGCGTGCTTGGCACACTTCTGTGCCGATGATCTTCGAAGGACAGTTCCGTGGGCATGAAGCAAAAATTTTGCTTCGCTTCAAAAAGGACCTTACATCTGAAACCAGATAGCCTTAACTTGCCTCGATTAGGCATCATAACGTTATTGTAAGCAGTGAATCTTGACGGAATGTATACTTAACAATTAAATAGCCAGAGACGTGTGCTCTGAGAAGCAGTTTTGTTGAGTTACTTTGATAAGGAAACGGTGTTAAAGCCGTGCGTCTAAGAACACTCCTTGTCGATGAACTGTGTAGAGATGTACTCCCGTCTTGAAGCGCAGATAGACATATACTGGACTAGGTAGGCACACTTACTCTTATTGGTTTGTTCTTCGCGATTCATACAATCGTATGGACCAAGCACAAAGTAGATCTTGCGGTTTATGCATTACCAAATATGTTTAAAACACTTCAAACTGTGTTTTCCCGCAGAAAAAATCTGTAGGAACTGCCAAGCGGGTAACAAAATACCTAATTTCAACCTCCTATTTTTGCGGTATTCTCCTCTGGAAGTTCAGCAGACTGGAACATAGCACCGTGAAAGGCCAGCAGCAGCAATGCAGAGATTCCTGTTGCACATCCCTGCGACAATCGCACCTATCTATTGACCGCAAAGCGTTTCAGATATCCTGCAACGTGCACCAAACGATTTCCCATTGCCTATTGGCTGAGGTCCGCCCTCATATCTCTGGAAAAGGCCGGTGTAGGCCAATGACCAATTTCCCGCCCCGTAAACTATCAAGCAGTGCACGATGCTGTACGGATGTGTTACCTCCTATGTTTTTAGTGAAGAAAGAAACGATATGTTAGCCTTCTGACTTACTTGATCTAAAAGGGAGTACTATGATTCCATGCGGATTGAAAATGTTTGCTCGTCACTATACCCTTCAAAGTTTACTCAGGAGAGCATCCCCACAAAAGTATACCCAGCACACATCAGATCATGTAACTGATTTTCTAAGTGTAATAATGAACTAATTTAAAAAGCAATAACATTTTTATTGCATGAAAAGCGCCATGAAAAAGTTAATGTATTACATGTGCAATAATTATTGTATTGCATTAGCGCATTTATCGCTTTATATGCGTAGTAATCATTTAATCACACCAAAATTGTGATAATCTGGGCCAGGACCGGCCAAAGCCCAAGAGACTTATTGCATTTTCAATGCGATAATTTTTTATTGCTGCCTCGGATGCGATAATTTAAAAAAATTACATTATCCCTTTTATTGCAGCAAATTGTATGAAGCTTATCACATTAGAAATATCAGAGGTTAAACTACACTTTGCTCACTTCACGTATCTTCAGTTCTTTGCACGCACTGGTATTTCTAGTGATAAGTTTCATACAAGTTGCTGCGATAAAAATGCTAATGTGATTCCTCCAAATTATCGCATCTGTTGCAGCAATAAAAAGTTATCACAATAAGTCAGTTAGGTTTTGGCCGGTCTCGGCCCAGATTAGCGCAGTTTTGGTGCGATTCAATGATTACTACGCTGATAAAGCGATAAATGCGCTAATGCAGTACAATAATTATTGCACTTTTAAAGCAATAACTTTTTGATGGCACTACTTATGCAATAAAAATGTTGTTGCTTTTTAAATTAGTTCATTATTACACATAGAAAATCAGTGCGTACTTTGCAGAATGTGCAATCTACATTTCTTGCCAGAACTTCTTGGCTTTAGACCTGATGATTATACACACTCATTTCAGGAACGTGGCATCAAGTTAAAATGAATGTGACAAAGTGTCACGTTCCTTTGAGCATTGTGTCGGATTCGTTCAAACGCGAATCAGCCACAAATTAGCTCATTCACGTAGTAACGATGTGATACGATGCTCAAAGGAACGTGACATCTTGTCACATTCGTTTCAACGTGTTGTAATGTTGCTAACAATAACGTTATGATGCCTATTCGAGGGAGGCTATCTGGTTTCAGATTTAACACTGAGAACGCGAACGCCACGAGTATAGCGTCAATCGGTACAATGCAAAAGCATTGCACAAGAAGTGCAATGCCTCCCCATTCCCATGCATTAGCAAAGGGCATTTTCAGGACGCATTGCACGTAAGGTCCTCTATGACTGAGGCATTGCAGGTATGGTGCGATATCTCAGTGCACTGCACCGCACGTGCTATATTCATAGCGTTTGGAATCTCAGTGAAGGTACTTTTTGAAGCAAACCAAATTTTTGCTTCATGCCCATGGAACTGTCCTTCGAAGATCATCATCACAGAATTGTGCCAAGCACTCACTTTTCGTATTGGGTTCTTCTTGACGTAGTTTGCTATCTTGATTTCTTCACATACTTTCAAGATTTTAAGATCGAGATATGACAGTTACAAATTAATTTTGGCCCTAAAATGAGAGTATATTTACATTTAAACAGACGTCATTTCAGCGCATCAAACATGTTAAATTTACCAAAGCAGAGAAACTGCGTTTCCTTCACTTTATCCTGGAAAGCACTGCATCGTTCAGGTTCATTTTTCACAGCTGAGAAGCTGTTTTTCTGTATTTCCCTGCTAAATACTCTCAATTTGACATCACAGTGGCCTTCAGAGACCCCTGAAACTATCGGAACGACACCCAACTCGACTGGTGGCGGAGCCGTTCGAAATCCGAAGAATTTGGCCGCCATTATCCAAAATGGCGGCCATTTCCGGTACTTCCGGTGACCTCATCGTTGTTCTGACATCGCCAATGAATTCCCCGACCTCGAATAATGCGGAAACCACTCGTCGCACGATTTTAACTGTCAAAATTGAAACTTCGAAAATTTTGAACACTTTTAACCTTTAACGCCCCCGCATTTGAGTCCTAAGGGAAATTTTGACGTGTGCTTCGGGCCAAATCGACCATTTGGGTCAATAGAAGACGTGTGCAAAGTGGCTTGCTTGTAACCCAATTTGCAACGTGTTTTTGCTCTGTTACCCCCACTACTTGGTTAATACGTTCCTCACTTCAAAGTAATTTTGGTGGGAGAACCTCCGGATGGCCACCTCTGCTGCTGGGTAGTTTGGTAAAACACTGTGGTGAGATTTAATCCCATCTATTTCAAAAGCGGTATCAAACCTTACTTTCAAATCTGCTGCATGCTTTTGAATCTCTTCGGTTGGGACCCATACCACAGTTACGCCTTTAATGTTGGCGTGAACCCATTCATAAAAGGCTAATGCTGAAGTGATTTGCCTGTCATTGGGTTTCAGGCGCAAACAATGTAGCATGACAATGTGCTTTATCATGCCAGCTATGCCGTCACAAGACGATTTGCCATGACTTGTGACGAAGAAGTGCCATTCAGCAGATACACCAAAATCTCGCTCATGGAACCAAATATTAGCAACAGCAAATTTGTTCTTATACTGACCTGCACACCCATCAGAAAAATAGATAATTTTTTTCACATCAATCTTTAACTCATCCCGTATGAATGCTACTAATCGTCTTTGAAAAACATGGACCGCTGTAGTACTATGATCCATATGATCAGATATTGGAGCAAAAGATTTAACTTCAATTTCCCCTTTTTCATTTCTATAATGAATGACACAGGGATGGATTGTAGCTTGTTTGTTGTTGAAGTACCAACCTTGCGAACTAGACTGAACAACAAATGAAAAATTTTCTGCGAAATCCAAGTTAACAACTACGTGTCCAACTTCTAAATTCTCGATCACTGTTTTCTTGTAATGAGCTTGCTGTTTTGCAATAAAATCATGGGTTATCAATTTTTCCAATTGTATAATAAATTCAGAGACAAAATCTTCAGCAGTTTTGGTGACAGACAGAATTGTACCTCTATCTGTAGATTCCCATTGATTATAAGTTACATGGGAAACCATTTCTGAATCAAAGTAGACCTCTATTTTCTCTTGAAGATTGATCTGGGTGGGGCAGTTGGCACATCTACGGAAATAACAATCAACTTGAGGATCAGCACAAAGTAATGATTTTCTGCAGTCTTCTAGAGTGTCAAACCCAGCTTCTTTTAGATTGGCTGCTTCAAACATGAGGAGAGGATTTTGATGATGGGTACAAACGCAGATAACATGAGTCCCAGGAGCACCAGCAAGAACGCACTCCTTCGGTCTCAACTCACAAAATTTACCGGCTGACAATTTATTGTCAGGGAATTCTTCACAAAACTTTGTATGCAGGTTTCCAAGGGTAGATAATATCAGTCTTTTGGTCTTCTTAACTCGCAGTCCATTTTCTCTCAGAGATATGACATCCTGGCAGTGGTCGGCTTATGTCATCTCTTAAATAGAATTCCTTAACAAGTCTGATAGTCTCATCAGACAGCCCACGACCAGGTTTTGGTTCAAAAGATGGTAGGACCCCTTTAACTTTAACAAGACGCTTGGTTTTTCTGGCCATATATTTGGTAACAGCGAAAGTTTCTGTGATCTGGGAGTGCGTCCAGCTCTGGGGTAAAAACTGAGAGAGCTAGGATCTTCTTAGATGAGTCAGTCTGTTCCTGAACATAATCTTGAAGTTGTTTGATGACCTCATTGAAGTCCTCTGATTTGCGGTCTTCCATGGAAATTCCTGGGCAATAAGGGAGGGTGGGGCACCTAGTGACAGGGGCACCTAGTGACACAGGGGTGCCCTGGCCACCCTATGGCACTTTCAGACACCTTGAGGTGGCTAATCTAAAGGTCTTGTGCTGTGGAATCATGTTCAAGTGAAAGTGATACTTTGAACAAAATATTTTAGCCCCTAGAATAAAAGCAAGAAAATAATAACCCAAAATCACAGATTTTACGACTTTTTAACAAAATGTTTTCTCGCCATTCTTCCAGTAAACGGCACTGCCGATCGTTCTGGCACTTTTAATGAATAATAAGGACCTTTAGTAAGTTGTTTTCGCTGAACCAGCTCAAACATGTGATTTCATTTCCTTAATATCAAATTTTGAACGAAAATGAGCCCCCGGGGCAGGTAGTGACAGACACACTCTATTTACCTATTTCAACGATTTAAACGTTTCAAAACATCGATTTGGCAACCGCGAAGTAACTTGTCACCGATTGTCACACAACGAAACATAAATGAGACTACTTTTAACGACAATTTCGTAGAACATTGAATTTTATTGGCAATTTAGTAAAATGCAGTTTCTTGGGGAAAATGGCGCCGTTCAGAATGGTTTGATATTTAAAAAGCTTAAAGAGTCCAAAACGGATAGTTTTCAATTAGCTGGAGCGTCGCTCTATGCTGGTAATGTGAGGTATATGTCCTGTCACTAGGTGCCCCGGGCTGGGGCACCAAGTGACAAGTGCAGAGGTCTGCGGGAAGCTATGTAAATAATAGAAATAGGTGTTGTCAAAACGCCACAACATGTTATTTCGATCAAGGAAGGATCAAAGCAACCTTCTGAGGTGTAAGTAGATTCATTTCTCGCACAGTATCGAAGTGAGTGCCAAAATCCAAAAAGTGTCACTAGGTGCCCCACCCTCCCTTACAGTTTGAGAGCAGCCTTGACTTTTGCTACGACCTTTTCACCATAAGATTTTCTTTTTCTCAACTTGGCTTCCGATACTGGAGAAAATCCTAGAGCTGAAAGCCAAGTGTTCAGCCCATCAATCTTTTCTAAGAATGGTTCATCTGTTGGTTGTGCTTGTCCAGTGGTGTCGTTGTTGCTGGTACTGGATGGTGTGGAAGGTGGAGCTGGCGGCAGGGATGAACCAACACTTGGAGATGAAGTCACAGGTTCTCGAACAGCATTTATCTTCTTCAATTCGTTCTCCGCATTTGAGATCTTAGAAAAAATATCTATTTTGCATTTCACACATAGTTTTTTTCCTGGAATTAGATATAAATCCACTAGCTTTGCCCTGTATCTTAATTCCAGAGTTATTGCAAACAAATTAGAGGAGGCAGACTTCCTTTTCTTTTTTGGTGGTTCGTTGTCTTTTGCTTCATCTTCATGATATTTTAAAGGATCACAACAACGCTTTTCAAAGAAAGGAAACTTGGTAACAAACCAAGCAAGATGGAACGTACACACAAATTTCACAGACTTCTTGCATCCACTTCGTATTCTCAAAAGCCTCCGACTCTCATCAAGAAGCTTGTCTCTGGGCATAAGTTCACCAGAACAAACACCAATTCTTGGATCATGTGCCAAATGGTGAAGAAAGCACTTTGCACTGGGAGCCATATTGACAAGAGGGAATACCCTACAAGAGAGAACAAATGGAGTTAAGCAAGTTACCATTGAAACTGACCCAAACAAACCCAAAACAAGGTTTAGAAATACATACCACAGCAAAACATTCACAAAGATTCTACGATCCCCCACAGGCCTAGGCAACGGCGGCAACTGCCGTGTTGACGTCCAAAACAGTCCCAGAGACCCCTCCGCTCACGGTCATACTGTATGTGGAATCCTTATTAAAGAAAAGTATTAAAAATATTGTATCATTTTTAAGAACTAAAGAAGCCTTGAACCATTCTGACACGACAAACTAGACAGTGCTGGCTGACGCGGACACTGTAAACCTAGCTTTGAGAACAGGGCGCCTGGGAGGTAGGCCTGCCCGTCAGACCGGGCTGCGCTGCGTGGCTCCCACTGCCTACCTGGCAGGCGCTTTACCATGATTGAAAGTACCCGGTTTGTGGTTCGGTATTCCACGAGGAAGGGCAGCACCTCCGCCAGTGCCAGGGTGTGAGGGGTGGCCCTAGCCACGCCGGCGCACCACTTAAGGGGAAAAATAGGGAAAAGGGGGTATGCAGGGGTTCACGCGAATTGCTCGTTCTCCCAAACGAAGAATAATACTTTGGGTGGTTGAGCTTTTCTTTTAGATGATAAATAAAGGAAGATTTTGGAATTTTTTGAGAGATTTTAAAATATGGGTTTTTGAGATATCACACTGTAAAAGTTACACCTTTTTTGAAGTTCCACAATTTTTTTTTCGAAAAAAATCCAAAAAAAAATTTTTTGTGTAGTTTTTTCTCCTCTTTCCAACGGTGGTCTCGGATTTGAGATACGACGAACGGTTGCCGAGATAATTGCATTTTAGTGCACCCATGTCGTCATGTATGTGAAAAACTTCATCAGGCCGTAGTTCGGAGCCCGGTGCAGATTTCGAAAAACTGAGTTGGGGTCTTCAAATGGTACCATAAGGCCAACAATCGCCCACTATGGCGATGGCCTCCGACAAGGTGTCGGTCCGAGCCCTGTCGAGTTGGCATGGAATGACCCATGTGTTTATTAATAGAATCAATGTATGGTTGTGTATATTTAATCCTAATAGAGTTTGAATTGATATTGGGTTCAAAGAGAGGACTCAGGTTTTGAGCGGTGAGTCAATAAGTGCATAGACAACCAACTATATATATGATTGGCTGAGCGATAGCGAAGCCTGTTACTCCAGTGGGGTTGAAAAGTTTTTCCTGTCTGTCTGTTGTCTGTCTGTCTGTCTGTCTGTGTGTCCGCACTACTCCTCCTGAACGGCTCGGCCGATCTCGGTGAGATTTAGCACACTTTTTGGGTATGTCCTTGGCTCGGCACACGCGAAATTTCACCATCCTAGCTCAACTGGTTCAGTTTATATAGCCGAAAAACACCTTAAAACGGCGAAAAATCGAGTTTTCGGCAGGTAGATCACCTCTGTCTTGAAGAAAGGGGGGTCTGGGGGGCGTGGCCCCCCAGCCTCGACAAGTTGAAAATGACAAGGGTCAAGATCGTGTTATCTGTAGATGAAGCAACTCTATCTAGAATTAAGGGGGGTCGCCCCCCAGCATGCAACACGTAAGAAGTAACCGACGATGGACAAGCCAATGCCTGCCGAAGGCAGACTAGCGCCGCGGGCCAAGGTAGGTACGCCAGGCGCGGATTGGGAACAGCCGCGAGACATCGCGAAACCTGGACGACAAGACGCGGTCTGGCGTAAACCTACCTTGTTGTGATGGGATTTAATGAGACGATTCCTTTTACTTCACCAAAGTTAATATAACTGATACTACTTACAAGGGAACGTTCTCAGGTGTCAGGAGCCGATTGTTGCCATACTTCGGGATCTTAAAGACCACCTCAAAAAAGAATTTTCGCCACCCACAGTTCGTGCTGAAAGTCACTACAACGCTCTAAAATGGAAATTTAAAATTGACCAATTTCCATAAAAATTTAAACAAAAACTGTTTTTACCAAAAAGTTTCCAAATGGGCTGAAACGCCCAGAAATACCGTTTCTTTTTTTGGTTTTGGCCGAAAAAAAAAATTTTTTCTCTAAAAATTGAAAAAAAAAATTTATTTTATTTTTTTCGATTTTTACTGAAAAATTTTCAAAAATTCATTGCTTTCCATTTTTGGAAAAAAAATTTAAAGTTTTGCCCTCGGAGAAAAAAAGAAATGTAAAATTGCGAACTTTACAAGAAAGCTGTCAAATGGTCGCCCAAAAATGTCATTTTTTCAACCTTGGAATAATATTTTTTTCCAACGGACTTAAGGTCAATACCTGCCGAAGTCACCCCAAGGTTCCGATGTCACCCCAAATAACGGTAACACAAAAAGTCTAAATAAATTCTCACATTTAAAGAAACGTTTCAGTGGGTACAGCAGGTAATGTTTTAACAGTCAAATGGTCGCCGCTTGCCGTTACGTTCGTTGGAATGTGATTGGCTGAGCGATAGCGAAGCCCGTTACTCAGGTGGGGTTGAAAAGTTTTGTCTGTCTGTCTGTCTGTCTGTCTGTCTGTGTGTCTGTCTGTCTGTCAGCACTACTCCTCCTGAACGGCTCGGCCGATCTGGCTGAGATTTTGCACACTTTTTGGGTATGTCCTTGGCTCGGCACACGCGAAATTTCACTATCCTAGCTCAACTGGTTCAGTTTTTATAGCCGAAAAACACCTAAGAAACGGCGAAAATCGAGTTTTCTGCCGGCAAATATCTTCTGCCTTGAAGAAAGGGGGGTCAGGGGGGCAGAGCCCCCCAGCCCCGGCAAGTTGAAAAGTAACAAGGGTCAAGATCGTGTTATCTGTGGATGAAGCAACTCTATCTGGAATGAAGGGGGGTCTGCAGGGCGGAGCCCCCAGTATGCAACAATTTAGAAGTAACCGACGATGGGCAAGCCATGGCCTGCCGAAGGCAGGCTAGCGCCGCAGGCCAAGGTAAGGGAGGGTGGGGCACCTAGTGACACTTTTTGGATTTTGGCACTCACTTCGATACTGTGCGAGAAATGAATCTACTTACACCTCAGAAGGTTGCTTTGATCCTTCCTTGATCGAAATAACATGTTGTGGCGTTTTGACAACACCTATTTCTATTATTTACATAGCTTCCCGCAGACCTCTGCACTTGTCACTTGGTGCCCAGCCGGGGCACCTGGGTGACAGGCATTATACCTCACATTACCAGCATAGAGCGACGCTCCAGCTAATTGAAAACTTCCGTTTTGGACTCTTTTAGCTTTTTGAAATATCAAACCATTCTGAACGGCGCCATTTTCCAAAAACATGCATTTTACTAATTGCCAATAATCATGTTCTACGAAATTGTCGCTAAATAGGTCTTTAAGTTTCGTTGTGTGACAATCGGTGACAATTACTTCGCGGTTGCAAATCGATGTTTTGAAACGTTTAAATCGTTGAAATAGGTAAATAGAGTGTGTCTGTCACTACCTGCCCTGGGGCTCAATTTTCGTTCAAAATTTGATATTAAGGAAATGAAATCACATTTTTGAGCTGGTTCAGCGAAAACAACTTACTAAAGGTCCTTATTATTCATTAAAAGTGCCAGAACGATCGGCAGTGCCGTTTACTGGAAGAATGGCGAGAAAAATTTGTTAAAAAGTCGTAAAATCTGTGTTTGGCTTGATTATTTTGCTTTTATTCTAGGGATTAAACAATTTGTTCAAAGTCACCTTTCACTTGAACATGATTCACAGCACAAGACTTTAGATTAGCCACCTCAAGGTGTCTGAAACTGCCATAGGGTGGCCAGGGCACCCCTGTGTCACTAGGTGCCCCTGTCACTAGGTGCCCCACCCTCCCTTAGGTCCGCCAGGCGCGGATTGGAGGAACAGGCAGCGAGACATCGCGAAGCCTGTTACGACAAGACGCGGTCTGGCGTAAACCTACCTTGTATGAAGTAAATGTCTCGTCACGTTGACTTGATTACTACTGCATGCATGTGCCCAATAGAGTACTCCAAAGAAGCTCTGGCCCGGAAGAAGAACAAAAACGGAAATTGCAGTTCACTTAAGTGACGGTATCGAGCCATCACATTCGTGTCACATTCACTTGACCGTTTCTTTGCTGCGATTGTCGAGCTAGAAAAAAAGTTGCCTTTTTCTAGTGGCAACGCATTTCAATGAGAAAAGTATTCGTTATCAGGAACACAAAGCAGAGGGAAGAAGTTAAAAACTTGAATTGCATTAGTGAAACAAAAGCACTTATTTTATGTCCTTACTGGCGTCAACGATTAACGCACACGGAAAGGCTTTGCCACTAGACTAGGGGTGACTTCGGCGGGTATTGACCTTAACTCCGTTGGAAAAAAATATTATTCCAAGGTTGAAACAATGACATTTTTGGGCGTTTTTGACCATTTGACAGCTTTACTTGTAAAGTTGTAATTTTACACTTCTTTTATTTCTCCGAGGGCAAAACATTAAATTTCTTCCAAAATGGAAAACAATGATATTTTTGGACGTTTTAGGCCATTTGGAAACTTTTCAGTCAAAATCGTAAAAAATAAAATCAATTTTTTTTTCAATTTATTAGAGAGAAATTTTTTTTTCGTCCAAAACCGAAAAAACGGTATTTCTGGGCGTTTCAGACCATTTGGAAACTTTTTGGTCAAACTCAGTTTTTGGTCAATTTTATGGAAATTGGTCAATTTTCAACTTCCATTTTAGAGCGTTGTAGTGACTTTCAGCACGAACTGTGGGTGGCGAAAATTCTTTTTTGAGGTGGTCTTTAAAATCCCGAAGTATGGCAGCAATCGGCTCCTGACACCTGAGAACGTTCCCTTGTGAGGGCGCCACCTCACTAGGTTGTCCCGGCAGCTCCGGCGATGTACGCAAATCTGATTGGCTTACTAGCAGGCGGCCTGTGCAGGTCGCACGGAGACCGCCGGTCGGCCTCTGAGGCCGCGACCGAGCTGGGCGCTGCGCCGCTGTCTCGGCCTCGTCGGTCGGTCTAAGCGATTTTGAGAGCCCTACCTGCCTATTCTGGATCCTCACAGGCGCTGAAGTGCTGCGCCTTCGATTCCTCCTTTTTGGCATCGCGGTGTTCGTACCACGTGCCCCTGGATGGCAGGGGACATTGCCGATGGGATGCTAGAAGAAAATACAATCCTACGGGGTCAAAAAGCTTAAAAAATTGAAAGTAGAAACAAAATGCTCCACTCTGAAAGTCTCCAATTTCTAAACGGTTCGTCGGAAAAATATGGGGTTGTGCTCATTGGATTCCTTTACTGATTTTCTAAGTGTAATAATGACCTAATTCAAAAAGCGATCACATTTTTATTGCATTAGTAGCGCCATGAAAAAGTTATTGCATTATAAGTGCAATTGCATAAGCGCATTTATCGCATTATTAGCGTAGTTATCATTTTATTACACCGAAATTGTAATAATCTGGGGCCCAGACCCCCAGACCGGCCAAAACCTAAGGGACTTATTGCATTTTTAATGCGATATTTTTTTATTGCTGCCAGAGATGCGATAATTTGAAGGAATCACACTAGCCTTTTTATCGCAGCAAATTGCATGAAACTAATCACATTAGAAATACCAGAGTTGGCTCATTCTCTAAAGTTTAGACCCCTGGGGAAGCCTCACTGATTTTCCAAGTGTAATAATGAACTAATTTAAAAAGCAATAACATTTTTATTGCAGTAGTAGTGCCATGAAAAAGTTATTGCATTAAAAGTGCAATAATTATTGTATTGCATTAGCGCATTTATCGCCTTATTTGTGTAGTTATCATTTTATCACGCCAAAACTGTGATAATCTGGGCCTAGACCGGCCAAAACCTAAGGGACTTATTACAATTTTAGTGCGACAATTTTTTATGGCTGCCACAGGTGTGATAATTTGAGGGAATCACACTAGCCTTTTTATCGCAGCAAATTGTATGAAGCTTATCACATAAGAAATATCAGTGAGCTCTCACAGGAATTTTTGACCGTTTCCTCAAGATTTGGGACTTTTTTGATAACTTTTCGCAGTTTTTTGCCAATATCTCCTGAAGTATGAGTCGTAGCTCGATTCCGCACCCAGATTCGGATTTCTTGGCTCATTTTACGTTTGTAACCCATTATCTCAACTTCCTAGTGCAAAAACTGTAGAAAAGTAGGAAATACCCAAATTCTAGTTAAAAAACTCAAAAATTTATAAAAACGGCTGCAGATTGGGCAATGAATTTTTGCCGCACCTGCTACTCCGGCTTTTAGCACCTCTTTAGGGTACTAAAACACCCGCCAAAAATGAGCCCAATAGGAGAGGTGAAATCCAACCCTGTCACGTCTTATATTCTTGCTCACAGTGTGTGGAGTTGAACCGCCGACCTTCCTCATCCAATGAATGCTCACAGCGCCATCAGCTGCATTTGGTCAAGCATCGATCTAGGATTTTGTGTGTGTGTGTGTGTGTGTGAGGGGAGGAGAGCCTCTGTGAGAACAGCTACGTACGTATTCTTCCACGGGTCACTAAGAATGGAAGAGTCTTGACCAAGACGCGTTTTGGCAAGTACTATATATAGTATATATAGTTAGTGTATATAGTTCATCACCCAAATTCGGGTGAAGATTTTGTCATATAGATTTAATTTTATACGAAGGGTATTTTTGCTACTTATACATATAGAAACCACTTTAACGCACATTTGGAGTGAAATAACCTTCATCATCAAAATTTGGGTTAAAAATGATCCTCACGAATAAAGAATACCTCCCAATAATTTTATTACTTATTATTACTCTCTCATTCTCTTTCATTCTCAGTAAGGGCGTTAAACTTTCAACCTTATAGGTTTCCCGTGAAAGGAGGGTGGCGGGTTTATTATGTACGGGTAGAGGACGGCAGGGTGGAAGCGGGAAAAAAAGGCACGCGGGCACATCAACAGGTCATGGAGAGGGTCACGGTCTGTTCGACCGCTTGGCGTGCGGTCCAATCGATGCAAGTTCGCTGTGTCGACTGGCAGGCCACACCACAACACTGTGAAACCTTTGGTTGTCACTTGATGACAATTTTAAGGCTGAGTTTCCCTAGAGTTTTCCATTTTACCTTTGAAACGCATTTGAGTGACCTATGCAGAATGTTCTTTGATGCTTAAATCGAAATAAACGTCGGCCTGATTCTGTCAGGTACTAACAAGTGCAGGCGTTATTGCCATTTCCCCATAAGCTGCTGATCTGGGTGCCATGTGAAACTTCTGTCGCTTCACGGTTGAATGAGTTGTATACAGTCCGGCCCGGACTCACGGTGTAGGGAGACCACTCTTCGGGTGGTGCACTCTTACACCGTGGCCGGACTCTGGCGGACTCTTCCGGGCTTAGCCAAGGCTTAGCCGGATTGCTATAGGGCGACAAGGTGTTGTCCGGCTCGGCCCCTCGGCTGGGTCTGGGCCGGGCCGGACCTCGGCCGGGTCGGGGTCGGATCGGGGCCTATGGGCCGGAACTTCGTCGGTGTTTAGGGTAGGGGTACCCGCCCTGTAAAGTGGGCGCGTAGTGTGGCTGAGCGATGCGAATTAGTTTGTGTTCTTCGAACTTTGCTTAAGTAGACGAAATGTGCAATTTATGGGCTCATGTAGATATGGGGTATAAATGGAAGTAATTTTCGTTATCAGCACGATGGGCCACAAAATGCCATGCACTGAGAAAACCTTACAAACTATTTTGGGCCTTACAAAGAAAAATAGTTAGTATAACAAAGTATTTTGAGCATACGTAAGCTTACAAAGAAAATACTTTGTAATTTACAAACTATTTCTTCGTGTAACAAACGATTTTAGTTTGTTATATGTATGCTGAAAATACTTCGTACGGTTTTAAGAGTGTGGGAAATTTTCAGTCCCATGAGTTATGCATAATTTTAAGCACACTCTCATTCCAGGAACGTGACATCACGTTGAAACGAACGTGACGAAATATCACGTTCGTTTGAGCATTGTCTCGCATTCGTTTGGTTGAGAATTGGCCAAAAATCAGCTTGTTCACATTCAAACGAAAGTGACACAATACTCAAACGAATGTGACATTTTGTCACTTCGTTTCAACGTGATGTCACATTTCTGGACTGAGAGTGGCATACACGACGGTGATACTGTTTTGCTCGCGCCTGGTGACACTGTTTGTCCGACGCCTACCTACTGCTAAGTGTACTGCCATGAGGCAATTTGTCCTGCCTGGCGAACACTAAACTGTGTCACCATAGGATGTGCTTAAAATTGCATCATCCATGGGACAAAAAAAGTCCAATGACATATAGTGTGTGTGTGTTTGTGCATGCGGAGGCTTGTGTGGGTGCTTGCGCAGAATGTACGAGTTTGTGATTAACAGGTTAAGTGGCTGATAAGAGGATGCGCTGGTAAGGGCGCCCCTGTTCGCGGCCCAGAGTCGCTGAAGCGCGCTGACAACGCGGGCGCGAAAACCGAGCCATCCTCAGAAAACGTTGCCATGACATCAGATCGAGTTCACATCACTCCTCCAGGTGCGTCCTATCAAATAAGAACGAATTCACCAAACGTAACCGTCTACTAAGTACACACTACAAATGCATGCTTGCCAGTACACACTTCCAAACGCATACTTGGACAAGTATACACTCGCAAACGCGTGCTTAAGCATGGAGTTAGGCACGCGCTTGTAAGTGTGTGCTCGGCCAAGTCTGCGTTTGTAAGTGCGTACTTGCAAACATGCATATGCACGTGTGGACACTAAATTACCATCTACTTTTTTGTGCATAAGTTTTGCACAAAATTGAGCATGCGTTTCGATATGCACGATTTTTATGTACACTTTCGTGTTTAGCTACGCACAAGTGCGTGCGTTCCAAGTACTAGAACCACGAGACAAAGAAATTGCAAGCGCAGAATCGGACCAAAAAGAGATATGTCTTTTTTCAAGGGACCCATCGTAATCGCCTTCGTACACTCTCATTCCAGGAACGTGACATCACGTTGAAACGAACCTGACAAAATGTCACGTTTGTTTGAATGTGATCAAGCTGGTTTTTGGCCAATTCACACCCAAACGAATGTGACAATGCTCAAACGAACGTGACATTTTGTCACGTTCGTTTCAACATGATGTCACGTTCCTGGAATGAGAGTGTAAATGTGCATATAGGTAGTAATTGCCCTGTCTCTCAAACATACCCATTTTATGACTTGATAGGTAGGTACACATTTACTGATGTGTGATGTTGTTTTAAGACTCTAAGTACAAGTCAAGTCGAATTTAGAACGCCATTCGGTTCTAATTAACGGTGGTACCTTAACAGCCGCCTGCTTCGGCACGCGCCACGCCCAGACCATCCTCCTGGCCGTGTCCTCCTTCACTATCTACATGCTGCGCGTCAACCTCAGTGTAGCAATCGTGGGCATGACCGCGATGGACAACGGCATCCGGAGCAACTCAAGCGAAGACGGGAACGCGACTACCCCGGCACCCCTGCATGAGGTGAGTTTCAGGCTGACAAAGCCAAAAATTTGAGTCGCTCTGTGCAGAATCCACTGCAAATACTCATATTTAAAAAAAATTCTTGAGGGAGGAAAAAAGTTAGCATGGCGATTTATTTGATGGTGCAACGAGCGAGCTGTATGTTCGCAGTGGTTCCGTTGGGACAGTATCGGGATTATTTGACGCAACCATCCAAATTCTGTCACCAAATGCCCCTCCGTCCTTTTCCGACATGATTTGACCAACGAACCCATGTAGACAACGTGCTGAGATGACACTCATCACCCTGCAGTTGAGAGTGGACCAAACCTTTTTGAGGTAAAGCTGAAAAAGAAACATATTGAAACTGCAGGTATACGATTGGGACGAGAAGACGCAGGGCCTGGTGCTGAGCTCCTTCTTTTGGGGCTACATGATCACCCAGGTGCCTGCTGGCGTCCTGACGCAGCGCCTCGGTGGTCACAAGTTCCTGACCTGGGCACTGTTCTCCACCAGCCTGCTCTGCATCCTGCTTCCTCCATGCGCCTACCTCGGCGGCTGGTGGCTCGTGTGCCTCAATCGGATGCTGCAGGGGGTCACTCAGGTTGGTCGGCTGCGCGGCAGCACTCGCTCCACTACACTGTGAAAATTGGAGTCGTCACTTGATGACAATTTCAAGGCTAATTTTCCTTACAAGGATGTCATCAAATCAATTGATCCAGGAAGCGGAAGAAGGGAATAACTTGACTTATCCCCAAATTGAGTTTTTATTTTAATATTGTGCCTTAGAATGGTTTCCATCACTACACCAAATTACTTGACTGAATTCCAAGCAGTTTAGGAGAAAATCCACATGGAAAAAGGGTATAACTCAACTTAACCCCTTTTACGGTCTAAATTTCATTGGAAAATGGAGATAACTCAACGGAAGTCCACATGAGTCCGTTTGACAAATTGGAAAAAGGATATAACTCAACTTGTATTTTTATGAATCTTGTGTAAAAAGAATCAACTCAACTTAGCCTCCCCTTAATTTTAAATTTCAATTTGGAAAAAAGAGCTAAGTCCAAAAAATACACCAGAGTAACGTACACTTTATGCAGACTATTGTTCCACTTGACTTGTCTCCAAATTCCTCTTTGTTTAGGAAATATAAGGTGAGCTGACTCTGTTTTCCATTTCAACGGAAAGCGATAAGTCGCAGAAATCCTCTACGGAGTGACCTTACACTTTTTATTTTTTTTCCAAAATTTTACTAATTCTTTTTGAAATTATTAACATGTGCAACATTCATTTGTTTTGTTTTAGTTTTCCCTCCAAACAGTTTTTGGTTTCTCCTGGAAAATGGCCAAAATTGAGTTATCCCCTTCTTCCGCTTCCTGGATCAATTGATGACATTGTTGTCACGCCCATGCAATAAGTATGGGAGCTTTGATGAAAATGTCATCAATTTGTGATGAGATTGTCATCTACGTTTTTGTCGTAAAGTGACAACAAATTTTCAGTGTATCGCTCGCTTGGCAGAAAAAATCACCCTCTGAAGCTTGTTATGACAAAGTTTTTGAGCATACTTAAGCTTACAAAGAACAAACTTCGAAATATTCGCGCTATTTCTTCGTGTATAAAAGTAAATTAGTTAGTACTGCGTTTATACTCTTAAGAAACTTACGAAGTATTTTGAGCATACGTAATACAAACTATAATTTGCTTTGCTATGCGAGGAAATACTTCGTAAATGACGAAGACGAACTATTTTCTTTGTAAGCTTAAGTTTGCTCAAAATACTTTGTTATATAAAGTTCCTTTTCTTCGTATGGCTTAAATAGTTTGTAAGGTCTTCAGCGCAGTTAATTTATTTCGTGGATAGCTTTGTGCCAAACTTAGCGTACGTTTTAAAATACGTGCATAGTTCCCAGTAATTAAATCTCATTAAAGGAATGTTTTTCTTGCTTTGAGAAACAGAGTTTTTCTCGGGTGAAGTTGTCTGCTTTAAATTCTTCGGTTGTTACTGTTAGGCCCTCTGGCCACTCAGATCGGAAATTCTTCAATAAAATGTAATTTTGCAGGGTTGCGTGTACCCATCGATCTTCACGATGATGGGCTTATGGATGCCCCCGGCGGAGCGATCTTTAATGTCGGGCATCATCCTTGGAGGTAGGTGTTAACCAGCAAAGAGTGTTTCGTATATTTCCACTGATGGGCACTTGTAAATGGACAGGCACGGCGTCGCATCGCTCGCTACAAAGTCCGCTTACGTCAGGCCATCACTGGCCGGGCTCAGTTTTTCGTGCCCAATAGTGACCCGTCAAATATCACGAGATTTCAAAAAATGTTACATGCTTTGGTGAACTTGCCCTCTCTCGCTTCTACTGGCGTGGTGTCCCCATCGCACGACTGGGTTGCCAAAGACTCCAGCGTTAAAACGCGTGCGTCCACGAATTAAACTATAAAATTTTTCGGTTTGAACTAATTTTCGGTGACAGTTCAACTAAAATTTAGTTGATACTGTAGGCCCCTGGCCACCGTCAAATGTCTTGACACAGTAAAGTCTTTGCAGTGGTTAGCGTGTCCCACGTCTGTCAGTAGGGCTTATGGACCCCCGGAGTCAGACTTTAGCATGCTCGGGACATCCACATTGGAGGTAGCGTGTACCACGTGTTTCGTTATCCTAGCGAGAGGCATTCTTGTAATGCAAAAGGTCACGGGGATCGTCAGCTAAAAGTCGTACATGTCCAGGTCTCCATGGTGGAGTCAGTCTTATTCGAGCCGCTAATAGCTGACCTAAATATCTAGAGTCAAAATTTACACTTTCTTGCCTGATTCGACTAATGGCGTCGAGTGTCCACTCATGCACGATGGGCCACCACTAACTAGTGCGCCCTGACGACACGACTAAATTTCCTTCAGGTACAGAAATCCAAAAGTTACTTCACTGTGACGGATTGACTGAAACCTTGTACATGTACTTCGAAGTGTGGTACAGTGGTACTAATGAGTGGTAGGCGCAAAACTCTGGTTATCCAAATTTAGCACACGTTGAAATGCGGTCAATACCCCTTAAAATCAGTGGTCAGCATAGCACCACATAAAATTCATGGTGATTACCACAGCAAATATGTGGTCAGTCCTCTATTACCTCATAAAAAGATGGTCTTGACCACGCAATACATGAGGTAACGGCTAAATTAAGGGTAAAGTCTTGTACACCACAGTGGCTTCGCAGGGGGGGGGGTCAGGGGGGTCGGGGTCATGACCCCCCCTTTGGCCACTAGACAGCCGCCTGGAAGGTAGGCAAATTTCGGTACTTTCCCCCTGTAAGTAGGCAAAAAGCATGGCCCGACCCCCTCCCCTTCAAAATTTCTGCGCACGCCACTGGTACACCACTTATTTGAAGGGGTGTAATTCTTACCACATTTGTACGTGGGGTAGAATGCGGTAACGACACTTTAGGTCTCACCACAGCCAAATGTGGTAACTTCACCACACTTTCGATTTCAGTGTATCGCAAAAATACAGGGAAGCTTTTCCGCAGCGCAGACGATGGGGCCGGTGGTGGCCACGCCCCTGGCTGGGCTTCTCGTCGCCAAGTGTGGCTGGCCGTCCGTCTTCTACTCGTACGGCGCGATGGGCTTCGTGTACTCCCTGGTCGTGATGCGGTACTGCGCCGAATCGCCCACTGCCCACAAGACAATCACCCTGGAGGAACGCGCCTACATCGTGGCGTCACTCGGTAGCAGCAAGGATAAGGTAACTGCCATGTTACAAAATTACCTATTCAGGGTGGCCGTCTAGTCCAAATCCTAATTTCTGTGTCTTGGATTAGAGGCATTTCAAACTTGGTTGTGTGTGTGTGTGCTTACATTTTTTAATAACAAGGTAGGTTTACGCCAGACCGCGTCTTGTCGTAACAGGCTTCGCGATGTCTCGCTGCCTGTTCCTCCAATCCGCGCCTGGCGTACCTACCTTGGCCTGCGGCGCTAGCCTGCCTTCGGCAGGCAATGGCTTGTCCATCGTCGGTTACTTCTAACTTGATGCATGCTGGGGGTCTCCGCCCCCCAGACCCCCCTTCTTCAAGACAGAAGTGATCTGCCTGCAGAAAACTCGATTTTTCGCCGTTTTAGGGTGTTTTTCGGCTATAAAAACTGAACCAGTTGAGGTAGGATAGTGAAATTTCGCGTGTGCCGAGCCAAGGACATGCCCAAAAAGTGTGCAAAATCTCACCGAGATCGGCCGAGCTGTTCAGGAGGAGTAGTGCGGTCACACACACACACACAGACAGAAAAAACTTTTCAACCCCAATGGAGTAACAGGCTTCGCTATCGCTCAGCCAATCAATCAGCGCTTCAGGCTGGTGCGTCGAGCTCAGCCTGAGGTTTTTACACTTTTGCACTTTTTCAAGAATTACGTCAAGTAGTCCACACATCGAAGTTTTTGAGATAACAAGGTAGGTTTACGCCAGACCGCGTCTTGTCGTAACAGGCTTCGCGATGTCCCGCTGCCGCCTGTTCCTCCAATCCGCGCCTGGCGTACCTACCTTGGCCTGCGGCGCTAACCTGCCTTCGGCAGGCCATGGCTTGCCCACTGTCGGTTACTTCTAGATTGTTGCATGCTGAGGGGCTCCGCCCCCCAGACCCCCCTTCATTCCAGATAGAGTTGCTTCATCTAAAGATCTTGACCCTTGTTACTTTTCAACTTGCCGGGGCTGGGGGGCTCTGCCCCCCTGACCCCCTCTTCTTCAAGGCAGAAGGCATTTGCCTGCAGAAAACTCGATTTTTCGCCGTTTTTCAGGTGTTTTTCGGCGATAAAAACTGAACCAGTTGAGCTAGGATAGTGAAATTTCGCGTGTGCCGAGCCAAGGACATACCCAATGACCCTGCAAAATCTCAGCCAGATCGGCCGAGCCGTTCAGGAGGAGTAGTGCTGACAGACAGACACACAGACAGACAGACAAAACTTTTCAACCCCACCTGAGTAACGGGCTTCGCTATCGCTCAGCCAATAAGGATCTCGTGACTGTAGTAAAGACCACTCTGATATATGAAGAGGGCTGGCTCCATTACACGTTTTCGATTTTGAAGTATGGTTTATGTGCCCCAGCCCGAAGTCAAATATCCTTTAAAAGTACGCAGCGTGAGTTTTCTGTGTGTCAACAATTTGTAAGTAGCTTGGGCACCCCATTCACCAATGAACTAGTGGGCGCAAAAGTGGGCACGGAGATAATTCATCATCAGCGCTGTTGGGCCTCAGCAGTCATCTAGCGTTCGAATAAGCAGCTCTCGCGGGAGTGCGACTGACCTTGCATATGTCTCTTGGGAGGGGTTGGCGCGGGCCTCAAGGGTCGTGGAGGCCCCAGTTAAGGTCAAAATTCAATTGTGGGTCACGAATCAATTGTGGGCCATTTTGTTTGACGGGCCGCTACAAATCCATGAATGACCGAACCGGCTTCAAATTCGGTATGGGTCTTCCCTCAACCTTCCTTTGTCAGCTGAAAAGGTGCGGATGTCTGAGCATCGACCACAACGAATCCCATCGGGCAGCAAAGAGAGACCTTAAAAATTCAACGGAAAATTGGGCCAATCCAAGGGCAAGAAAAACGGAAAAAAAGGATGTTTTTCAAACATTTAAAAAAAATCGAATTATGGAACGGAGGGGGACGCCCTTGCTGATTTAAGGATATAATAGGTGAAGGACTCAAAGTCAACCATAGTTTGGCAAATGCAGTACAAGGCTTGGCGCGCGGGTAGCTTCAAAAATTGCTGACCCACAATTGGTTCCAAAAATCAATTGTGGGCCAAAACAGCCAGTTTTAAAAACGGCTGTAGCTCAGTAAACGAGGACGAAAGACGGGGCTTCTATGCTGCAAAACGTAGTCAAGGGATCATATTTGAACGTCTCAAAGCTACTTTGGCTACTTGTTCAACATTAATATTTTAAATATGCATTTTTAAAAAAAGTGACCCACAATTGATTTTTTACCTTACAGTCGATCTCGTGGCTCTATTCGCGAGGGTGGCACAAAGGGTGGCAGGACTCCACGGATACTTCCGCGAGGCCAGTGGCACTCCCGCCAGTACTGCGAGTCCCGCGACACCACCTCGTGAGGACCTGCTACCCTCAGTGGCAGCGGGTGCCTACGTGTCAAGTGCCAAGGCTAATCACAAAATACTAATTTTCTCCGTCCGAAGAAGTTTGCGCCCTCTAGTTCATTGGTGAAAGATGATCCTGACCCCTACCTACCCACAAATTATTGCCACGTTGAAAACTTCGCCCACTAAAATCCAGGACAATTGAGAAAAATGATCCTCTTCGTTCCTGATTTAAAAACTGGATGCTCAGCCCTCTGCAAAAAATCAAATGGTTCATTTTAAAGCCCTGGGACCCAAATTTTCTGCGAGGACTTACACACTTACAACCCTACAAAGAACTGCTCGTTGTAATACAAAGAAAACGAAGGCTTCGCAGGCCACGAAGGAAATCGTTTGCAATCGAACGATTGCAATTCAAAGATACAAGGTAGGTTTACGCCAGACCGCGTCTTGTCGTAACAGGCTTCGCGATGTCTCGCTGCCTGTTCCTCCAATCCGCGCCTGGCGGACCTACCTTGGCCTGCGGCGCTAGCCTGCCTTCGGCAGGCCATGGCTTGCCCATCGTCGGTTACTTCTAAATTGTTGCATACTGGGGGGCTCCGCCCCGCAGACCCCCCTTCATTCCAGATAGAGTTGCTTCATCCACAGATAACACGATCTTGACCCTTGTTACTTTTCAACTTGCCGGGGCTGGGGGGCTCTGCCCCCCTGACCCCCCTTTCTTCAAGGCAGAAGATATTTGCCGGCAGAAAACTCGATTTTCGCCGTTTCTTAGGTGTTTTTCGGCTATAAAAACTGAACCAGTTGAGCTAGGATAGTGAAATTTCGCGTGTGCCGAGCCAAGGACATACCCAAAAAGTGTGCAAAATCTCAGCCAGATCGGCCGAGCCGTTCAGGAGGAGTAGTGCTGACAGACAGACAGACACACAGACAGACAGACAGACAGACAGACAGACAAAACTTTTCAACCCCACCTGAGTAACGGGCTTCGCTATCGCTCAGCCAAAAATCCTTTGTAGCCTACGAAGAACTTCTTCGCAGCCTGCGAAGGACTTTTCCTTTGTATTACAAACAAAATCGTTCGTATTACAAACGATTTCCTTCGTAGGCTGCGAAGCCTTCGTTTTCTTTGTATTACAACGAGCAGTTAGTTCTTTGTAGGAATTTGTATAAACAGGGTCGTGACGGTCGCCCGTTACATTTTGCTTCACATATTGGGGGATCTGCGAGGACACAGAAAACCTTTGTGAGCCTAAACAGTCTGTCGATTTCTAGATGCCCACTCCATGGGGGCCTATGTTGCGGAGCATCCCTGCCTGGGCAGCCATTTGGACCATGGCATTGCAGGGTGGCGTGTTCCTGGCCTTCCTTACGAAGATCCCTACGTATCTCAGCACCGTCCTCAAGTTTGAGATGAAAGAGGTGCGTGGTGTGTTACGTAAGAGAAAACAAAGTCAACGGCTTCTTTCTTGAACCAAATCCGTATTTTGTGAACCAATGGAGTATCTGATACACAATGTTATGTTCTCCAAAAGAATCGAATTCAATCGGGAAGTTGTCCCCACGCTTGACCAAACTCAATCGCGTCAAAGTTGATTTAGATTGGCTTTTATTTTCTTATTTCGCCACATTTTGAGATTTTCGACCCACCCACTAAATTGCTATGTAGCTTTTTGTGCATAACCTATGCACAAAATTGCGCCTGCGTTTCTAAACGCACTCTTTGTGCGTAGTTGCTCACAAACTCGTCCATTTTAAAACGCATGCAGAGTTTCGTAGAAAGCTTATGCACAAAAAAACTACATAGTAATTTAGTGTGTGGTGGGTTCGGCCTGTAACGCAGAACTCTTTTTTCTTCCCCGTAGAATGGCGTTTTGACAGCGCTGCCCTACTTGCTGTCATGGTTTCTCAGTTTTCCCTTCGGATGGTCGTGTGACAAGCTGGTGAGCCGGGGTTACCTTTCACTGACGGCCGCTCGGAAGGTGTACAACTCAATATGTGAGAAATCTAGGGGACTCTGTTTACCGTTGTATTCGTCGGGGTGAGAGTTTCGTCACGCTTCTTCGAATATTACGTCATAGTCGTTGCAGTGTTGATCCACGTTCAGACGTACGTGATATCGTAAATGCACCCGTGTCGCGTACAAACTTATTTTTTTCCTTTTTTTTTCGGCATTGCGTGTACTTTCAATGGGCCTTTTCCAAGTCCTAACTAACGTAACAAAATTCACCATCCGCTGGTACGAAATATCGTCGTTCTCACCTCAGGCGCGCCCGGTGTCTGTGCCCCTCCCTCTTTCTTTCCGTACTGCCCATGCATGGGCGACAGGGCACTCAGACGGAGCTCTAGCCTGGACAAAGATCGAAACCGGAAGTCAGGAATGACAGATGTAGGGAAATATTCGCGGTGGATGAGGTCTTGGGCTCACCCGTGGCGATATTTTGTCACAGCAACTGCCGTTTTCCACTTCCAATTGTCTTTTTCCGGGCTAGAGCTCTTTTGATGTGCACTATATTATTGATATTTTATTATAGTGTATAACATACTTTCAAATTTCAGTTCCTTTTTTCTCTCTGGTTGTAGCGGGACATCCTGTATCACTCTCATTCCACACTCTCAGCCTTTTACTGACTTTTTCTCATTGGCTTACGCATTTCTGTAAGCAATTGCTTAATAATTAACCATAATACTTAGTATTTTTTGTCAGTATTACTTAGTAATTGCTAATTACTGTACTGATATTACCGTTTTCTTAGTAAATTACAAAGAAATTTTTATGTACTTAAGAACTAAATACTAAGTATTATGGTTGCTTACAGAAATACGTCAGCTAATGAGAAATAGTAGTAAACGGCTGAGAGTGCAAGTACGTGACATTACGTTGAAACGAACGTGACAGAATGTCACGTTCGTTTAAGCATTGTCTCACATTCGTTTGAATGTGAACAAGCAAATTTTTGGCCGATTCACATCCAAAGGAATGTGACTCAATGCTCGAACGAACGTGACACGACTTTGTCACGTTCGTTTCAACGTGATGTCACTTTCCTGGGATGAGAGTGATTGAGGTGACGACCCCGCTTCTTAATCTCGAACTGAATTTAAATGCCAACAACTTTTAACATTTATTAAACTTTAACAGCACACGTCGGCAGTGGGGTAGCCATCCTCGCGCTGGGCTTCTGCAACGACCCCAACACGTCCGTGGTGCTGCTCATCTTAAGCATAGGCGTCATGTCTGCCTCGTACCCTGGAGTTCAAGCGAACTTCATGGACCTTTCGCCGAACTATTCTGGCACAATTTTCAGTATATCCAACTTCCTGTCGGCCGTTTGCGGTGTTTTCGGACCAATCATCATAAGTTTCATAGTCACTGAAAAGGTAAGGCCGCATCCAATTTTCCAGAAATTTCGAACGGACTTTTATGACATTAGCCCGAATGTCTTGGGTACCTATAGCATGCGTTTCCGAACTGACCGTCTGCAACGCTAGAAGTGAATATTAGGCCGTAGCACAGCAACTTGTCTATGATTTTGTTCTCCTTTCTTCAGGGCTCAGTATCCCAGTGGAGAACGGTGTACTGCTTGCTGTCTGCAGTCATGTTCCTCAGCAACCTAGTCTATGTATTTTACGGAAGCGCAGAAGTTCAACCGTGGAATGACCCGTCAGATAATCACAATAAAATCAGGGGCACCAAAACGGACGAGGAAAAGGAGGAAGGTAAGTAATTGTCATGTACCACGTCCTGGACACGATCCCTTGAAACCTCGTAGATATCTCCCGAAATCTGGTCGGGGAAACAAATGCTAAATTTATTGGAAAAACTTCAAAACTGGTTTGATGTCTATTCTGAGTGTGGGCCGAAAGGTTTATGGTAACACAAAGTCTCTGGAAATTCTCGACAGATTATTCGAACGCACTTACACTGCGAGAAAAAAATTAAGGCTGTGAGTGTTCATTTGGGCGTCATTGTCCACTCTACCCTCACTCTCATTCCAGGAACGTGACATAACGTTGACACGAACGTGACAAAATGTCACGTTCATTTGAGCATTGTGTCCCGTTTTTTTGAATGTGAACAAGCTAATTTTCGGCCGATTCACATCCAGACGAATGTGACTTCACGTTCGTTTCAACATGATTTCACGTACCTGTAACGAGATCTGCAAGAAGGTTTCCACCTTACCTGAGAAGGAGTCTCTTTCTTACGGAAGATTATTTACTTCAACTCGGGTACTTATATCCACCATACGCGCCTATACCTTAGAAACTGCAGGCACCGTACAGTACACTTCAAACTGTAAAACAAATGCAAACCTGATCCTTAAAGAAACCTTTTAGAGCACAGTGAATAGTGGCATCAAAATGGGCAGTCACGACCTTCATGCATTCTCGCGGTGCCGAGGCCTCTCGTATTTTTCATATTACGGTTTGACGATGAAATTTAAGGCAAAATCGGGCGTGTTTTCGATTATTTCCCTTGCTCTTGGTCCTGTTAATGCCTTCACTCACCACCACCATCCTTTTTCTTGCACATCTTTCAACAGGCGAGAAGTTGGCATCCATAACGTGAGAAGAAGGAAAATCGTGACGGCTGCTCAACAGAAATGGATCCGCATGCATTTGTGGCTCGACACCCCTTCTACGTGCGAGGGTTGTTCACCTCGAGTTGCACCACAGGTGTGAAAAGAAGATAAGCAGGACAAAACCGTCATCCGGGCGGGCCTGAGTGCACTGTTTGGACTTGATGACTCAGGTGCTGCGCGTAACAGTGACCTTACTTACCCTCTGAAAAATAGTAGTGGTTTCCAGAAACACTTACGTGAGAAAAGACACGGCCTTCGCATCTAGGATTCGGCTTCGAAATCATAAGCAGGCCCTATAGTTTATGTTTCAGTCAGACATTTCAGGTACTCTAGCAAATTTATTTACTTTTCCAAACGGAACTGTTGCGAAGTTCAAAAGAAAGTAGAACCCTCTCCAAACATGCAGTCCAAGGAGAAAAACCTTTAAAGAGGACGTGAATGAACGTGCTGTGGGTAGTTTTTGCGCATAAAAGTGTAAAACAAATCAAATAAAGAGAAAGTATTTTCATTTTTTCATTACTTAGCCGTTAAATTGACCCCGTACATCGATACAAAATGTGTCAAGAAAGGTAAACTCGCGTGCAACAGTAGTTGGGTGTTTGCGGCTGCCAAGGCCATGTTTGCGTCGCCTCGTCTTTCCGCTCCTTTCCGCCGCGACGCGATGGAGTAAATCAGTCAGGGCAGGTCGCGTTGTGGCCCCGCCTGAGCGATAAGAGAAAGAGGCAGGGAGGAACTTTCCAGGGACATTGCATCAACCAGTGTCCGTCTCAACGCCGTTATTAAAAATGAAAAATGGTTGACTCTACTAGAAAGCCAAACGTGGTCCACAGCGCGAGAAGCCAGAGATATTGCCATATGAGTTTAGAAAGTAATAGATTGCTTTTTCAATTGTGTGACCCAAGCGTTAAGTTCAAACATGAGACGGAAGCCATAATGTGTCAATTTAGCCCAAAATAGTGAAAAGCCCCCCAATTTCAACCCAACTGATTTTTTTTTCTCCTTTCCTGTACATGGGGCCCTCAGCAGGCTCTTGGTACACTAACAGGGGAGTCTTTCAAAAAAATTTCAGCCAAATCCATGAAGACGTCTTTTTCGATATTTGCAGATTTTATTTATTTTTTTGTAAAAATTGTTCACCAAAATTACAAAAAAATTATAATAATTAGTTTTTAGTGTCTACAAGTAAGGAAGAGTCACCAATAAAATTTGGCCCAATTCTAACAATTTGTCTTAAGGCCTGTTATTCTGTCATGGAATGCACCTCCCACGATGCAGACATGCTAAAAATGTCTGCAAGTGCACATTTGTTTCATTTCTGTTGAATGTTCTGAGTAAATTGCGGGGAGAAGATACCAAATTATTGTGTTATCCAGGACAAATACACAGTATGGTCCAGCTATCCTTGCCACCATTCATGATGATAGATCTCCAACGCGGAGAAGTTTCGTTTATTTACCAGTCTGTTTCCGGTCTTTGTCTGATGAAGGTCTGAATGAGTTAAACTCGCGAGCTAATTCTGCTGAAAGTTTATATATCATTTACAACGGCAAAGTTGGGAAGGCGGACATGATTGAATTAGTTTAAATTTTTGGCGTTTTGCTGAAAGTCGTGGAGATGTCAAATATTCATTGAGTTTTTAGGTCTGATTATATTTCAGTTTTTCATTTATTTTCAGTTGGCATTGATGAAGATGAGGAAGATGATGTGGACACGGATGTTAATGAAAATTTTTAACGAATTTCTTAACGAATTTTTCCTGTATTGTATCCTGGAGTCTCAAATGTATCAAAGAAATTGTGTGAAAATTATCTTTTATCTGAAATGAGATCTCATGCAGGATGTGAGATGAATTTGGACATTGCTGAAGCAATTGTGCGTGATATAAATTTTGGCTTACTAACAGTTGATAGAATGTGTGATGGATGTGATGGTGATCATGGGCTGTGGATGATAGGTGGAGGATTGGTATCATTTCTTTTGCAGGAAACATGTATGTTTAATGATATTGATACTTTTGTCTACTGGTAACAAAGATATGCGTAATCGTTATACATATTCTGTCTATTTTATTCAAAAGAGTAACTAGTACCGTCACTGTATTAAATAGTTACTACTTGTAACTGTCCGAACCCTCGTCCTAGTTCTGAGTGAAAGCCATATACCCGCCGTGCATTCTGGCCATTGACGGGCAGCGCGGTGCGTTTTCACATTATCAATCAGTGCGGCGACAGCGCGGCGGTGCAGCCCGGGCGACGCCGTGCGCTCCGATTACAATTTGTCGTTGAACTGGTATCAAAATGTCCGGAAAAGGAAATTGTTGGTACCCAACCGCCACAGCTCTGAAGTCACACTGTGCGGGTGAGACAGAGACGGACTACAGTGCTGTGGCGCACGGCGTGGCCCGGGCTGCACCGGCCGCGCCGCACTGATTGGCGGTGTCACCCCTTTCCCCTTACGCAGCCCTTTATGTCAAATTGTGGCCAGTGCCACGCGTTCAAGGCGTGGGGAGCTCGTTCGTGGCCTGGCTGGATCGGGCGGCGGCTCCGCGGACACTGGCATTTACTGGCCCTCCGCTGCAAGCGGAAGCTCCGGTGGGTCCGTGGACAGCGGCGGCTCCGTGGACAGCGATTTTGCCTCCGACTGACTGCCTTCCTTTGGTTTCTTTAGCATCTACATCACGAAGGTATTTGAAGCATCTACCTCGGCCTGCGGCGCTGGCGTGCCTTCGGCAGACTCTCTCGCCACACGCAGCCACACGAACAGACCTGATCGCACGCTAAAGCAGCATTCGGTTTCAACTTCTATGCTGGAGGGGCATTTGTTACGAATCGCCCCTGTTACGAATCGCCCCACTCCCTTATCCTCTGTAGGACGTCACAGAGTTCTCCGTAGGACTATACAGTCATCCAGGTTCTACGGAGAAGACTGTGCGGTCCTACGGAGAAAACTGTACGGCCCTACGGAGAATACTGTAAGAGCCTACTGAGAATATTGATAAGAGGGTTACGGAGAATCCTGGCCAAAAAATTAACAGAATTTTCCGTACCTTATTGCCACAGTGTTTTGATCGGCGTCGACCCTGCCTTGTACTCCGTAACAATATGGCATTTCGAAGAAGAGCTGGAACGTAAGTCGAGCGGAAATCAAGAAGGCCAAAGTATGCGAAATTCGTGAGGATGAGCGTCGGCGTTGCCGTTCTGACGCTCCCGCAAATTCTCTTACAAGTCCGGTTTTTTTTTCTTGATTTCCTCTCAACGTCCTTTCCGGCTCTTCTCCGAAGTATCCTATTTTCACCCAACCCATATTACGGATTCTTCTTTGTTCATATTCATCGGTGCATCCAAGATCGCAGTCTGGTACCGACCCCCACTGTCTCCTAGGTGTGTTTTCGCCGGTCAACGTCTTGGCGTATCAGTCAACACAACACTTGGAGTCTCTCGCCAGTCGCATTTACCTCGGGGACAGGAAATTGGAAGAATTGTTTATATAATCAGGAAGGACGTTCGGTCTGGCCGATTTTCCGTTCAAAAGTAAGTATATGTAAAATTTCACGTGGGGATGTTGATTACGGTCACCGGCTGCGAACTCAGCGTTAAGTGTGAAATTGTACGTGGCCGGTAACAGACTATTTTAATGGTCGTCGACTGACGAAGAGAGAGAGAGAGAGGCTCTTCTTTTATGGCCGTAGGCCGAGCCTATATTGGCCAGTCGACTGACGAACAAACAGAATCTTGAAAACCGGAAACACTTATTCCGGAGGAGGCATAGAGCACGGTCGAAGGGAGAAATGTTGACGAGCATTCATTGGTGAAAAGAACATCTGGACCGAATAGGGTACTTCGGAGAAGAGCTGGACCGGAAGTGGAGAAGAAATCAAGAAGAACAAACGGCTGACTTGTATGAGAATATAGCTCTGCGGAAGCGGCAGAACGGCGACGCAGACGCTCATTCTCGCCTATTTCCTATACTTAGTTCTTCTTGATTTCTTCTCAACTTCCGTTCCAGATCTCCGAATTACCCTCATGTCATTCTCGTGCTCTACGTCACTGACACATTCTAAGAAGCATTTTACTTGAGTGTGTGTTTTTGATACAGAGTGGAGCTTTTGGTTTCCGGTCCAGGCCTCTTCTAAAACTCCACATTCGTTGGTGATATTGCCAGTATTTTGAAACAGGCTTTATTAATATTGAAGTGCTGGCGCTTCGGTAAACGAATGCACTCGGATGGGGTGTGTGACGTTGCCGGTGACATTTCCGGTCTTCTTCGGTTCCTCTGGTTCTTCACTCGTTGATGAGAATGCTTTACTACCTATGTAGGAGTTTGCCGCATTGTGAAAGAAGTTTCCTTCGTTAATACGAAGGTTTTACTGAGGAGTTTGTGAGGTTTCACTGGAAGAAGGTAAGAGGAATCTCCCAGATGGCCGGCGCTAGAACATAATAAACCCTCAATTGAGCTCTTACGTTTTATGTTCGCGAGCCACTGCGCGTGCTCTCAGAAAATAATTGATTACGAGAGATTGTTTATATTTTGCGGCCATCCTGCAGATACCTCACACGTTCTTTAAGGGCCCTTTGTATCTTCGAATGTTACAAGGTTAAAGTTTCTTAATATGCTTGCGTCGAATTCATTGGAACATAGCTCATTGTGCTTGCAATATTCGTCGATCCGAGGGGTCGGCAACTTCCCTTGGCCGTGTACGACGGAGTATACGTATATTACCAATAATAAAGGTAATAAATGTGTAATATAAAGTAATACAAAGTAATAAATAGTAACATAGGGGTATTATAGAGGCGAAATTGTGGTAATATGCAAGTAATATATGGTAATATACAGGTAATATACGGGTAATATAGCCACCGCCTACGAAGTAATATATGAATTGCCGACCCCTCGCGTCGATCGATAGTCCGCCAGTGTACGTTCGCTTGCTCTCTTCCTCTCCAAAAGCTACAAGGGAGCGTTTTCCGACGCAACCGAACCGGATGTAAAGTAGAGGAAATTTTGGAGCCGTAATGAGAAATCGGGCGTACGATAGGCATTCCCTCGCCGGTGTTGGCCACCCCAAATCTCACTGTAAAATATCCAGACGGTCTTTTTTTGTGGATATGTTCCAGATGCAGATGTCGTGCCCCAAATGCTCGAAGCCGTTTGACTTGGGTGACAAGCGGCCTAAAGCTATAAAATGTGGGCACAGTGTTTGTCTCACGTGCTTGCGCTTCCACCCTACAAAGACCTGTCCTATTCCAGGCTGTAACAAGGTAAGGAGACAAGTAGAAAAGTACTGTTTCGTCGCTTTTCTTTGTTTGCTAGTCAGTGGAACGCGGTGACAGGGGAAATAAGTGATGGCGCGGCGCTGGGAATCCGGAGATGTGACGTCACGTTCGATTGAACGTGAATTTGCGTCACGTTCGTTGAAATACTGAGTCACATTCGTTTGAATGTGAATCGGCAGGTGCCGGACGAGGCTTGATTCACGTTCAAACGAATGTAACTCAGCATTCAAACGGACGTGACGCCACATTCCCGGATTCCAGGGCTGTTAACGTTACTTTTATAAAGAAACGCGTTACCGTTCCCTCGTTACTGAAGATCAGTAACGGTAACGCGTTACCGTTACAATAACGCCGGTCAAACTTGTCTTTTTCTAGCTGTGATTAGAACAAAACTTGGAGTTTCCCAGTTTGACAAGTTTGACCTCGAATAAATGTTTTGAGGCACCACGTTAAAAAGACGTTTCAAGAGGTGCTGATCAAATAGAGATCAGCCAAACTGAGTTCAGCCAGAAAACCCAAACCCAAAACCACCTAAGCTCAGTGGTTAAACGACCCGAAACTTCAATTGTTCACAGTTCCTCTAATAATTGCCTGAGATGGCTGAAATTTTGTGGGGGTGTTTACCTATGGGTAGGCACCATTTAAGCCAAAGAGGACCGAAATCGCCGATGGTCTGCTTCGGACGGCCCTGATACGCCCAAATCTTCAGTAAAAATAGTGAAATTGAGCAACTTTGAGAGCCCGTAGCGTCCAAACCCGACGCCGTAGAGCCTCGCGCGACCCGGCATTCGAAAGAGCGCACTTTTTCCTTTCGGAAACGACACTTTGGTAGAATTTTTGGCCCGTAGGTTCCGGGATCCCTAAAATACAGCCATTTTTAGGGGTTTCTGACCTCTACCAAAAAGCCACTGGTGTTGGATCCGGCCCAATTTGTGTTTCGGCAATTCGTATTCACTAGAGGAACTAAAAAAACCGGGAGGGAGCCAGATCTGAGGGGGTCCCCGGCCAAGTGTTTTTTTTTTGTCTGGAGCTGCTCTTAGTGTGCATTTTCCTTCGTAACACGAATCTTTTTAGCTATTTCATTGCAAGATACCAAGAAAAACCTTCGTAATACGAAGAAAAATCACCTTCGTATTATACTTGCGCCTCCTTCGTAATATGGGAAATTTCCTCGTAAGACATTTAGAGAGTATTAGCACCCCAAGCCCTCCTTGTTCGGCTCCTTACCATGGTTTTTCCTTTGTTTCAGCGTTTTGCAGAATCTGCTGATCTGCTACCTGATAACGCCCATCTATACTGCCAACTTCAGATAGAATTGTGAGTCAATTATTTGTTTGCTGTGCAAACTAAAACGTGCCTATTTTGGTTGATGTCAAAGCGAGTGTCGGCCTTTTGTGTATTTGTGCTTAAATGTTGTTTTTTTTTTCGAAGAAACCATTGGAACGGTCAGGCTGAAAATAGAGTGTAACTGTGGAACTTAAAAATAATGATTTAAAAGCCAAGTCTTAGGCCGAAAGGCCATTCCCCTCCTTGCCTTCTAAGATCCTACAGAGTTTTTTCGTCGACCAAAAAGGAGCTTAGAATTATGACAGCACAGTGAACAAATTTCTCAGTTTTTCCAGTTTTACCTTAAATTTTCATCGTAAACACTATAGTTTTCTAAGTGTAATAATGAACTTAAATTAAAAAAGCAATAGCAATTTTATTGCATTAGTAGCGCCATGAAAAAGTCATTGCTTTATAAGTGCAATAAATATTGTATTTCATAAGCGCATTTAACGCTTCATGAGCGTAGTTATCACTTTATCACATCAAAACTGTGATAATCTGGGCCCAGGCCGGCCAAAAAAGAAGGGAATTATTGCATATTTAGTGAGATAATTTTTTTATCGCTGCCACAGATGCGATGATTTGAAAGAATCACATTAGCCTTTATCGCAGCGAATGGTATGAAACTTATAACATTAGAAATATCAGAGAAGTACTGAGAAATAGCTTAGTACAATGACTGCGCAGCATTTCTCAGGAGGAAATTGGGAGTGCACCGGTGGGTTCCTAGCACGGCTTTTCCATCCCTTGCGGCGTGTGTGCATACGCTCGGGCCGCTCATTCACGTCTCGTCCAAGGGGTCGACCGTCCATACGCCCCCAATTTCCTGCTGAGAAACGCCGGGCAGTCATAATACTGAGCTAATTCTCATCAATTTGCGACTCAAATCTGTCATAATACAGAGAAATATGTTCGTAATATGAAAAAGTCAGTCATGAGTTCCAGAGAACCTTTCACCTTCGGTTACTACCTTCACTGCGCAGTTATAATACTAAGCTTTTTGTTCGTATTACGAAGAAAAATTTCAGGATATTCGGAGTGTATGTATATTACTTCGTACGCGATGGCTGTATTTCCTGTTTATCAATATCCTTTATATGTCATACACATTACCTAGTTTACACTACTGCGGGTGTATAATACCATGGTACTAAATGTCATGGGACATTTTTTGCCCCATGACTTGGGCAATTTTAAGCACATCCGGCTGTGATACAATTTTGTTCCCGCCTGGTGACACATATTTTCAGACGCCTGCTGCAAATTGTATCTAGATCCAGATAATTCGTTTCGCCTGGCGGAAACACAAATTGCATCACCATCGGATGTGCTTTAAATTTCATCATCTGTGGGACACACTAAATGTTACGTACAATTTTGTACGAGACACCACAATTTTTTGTGCACACGAAATTTTCGAACAATTTTCGCACGAAAAACTGCACATTTTTCGCCATTTAAAAAAAATGTACAAAATTTTGCACAAATTTGTACGAAAAGTTCGTGTGCACAATAAACTGTGATGTCTCGTACAAAATTTGTACAAAAATATTTAGTGTGGACCAAAAAAAGTCCCTTGACATGTAGTGAGTCTGTATCCTCCCCCGTACACGGCCAAGGGGATTTGTCGACCCCTTGGTTCATCGTGTCGTTGCCTGGCCTTTTTCTGAAGCATTTGTCCTTTTTTTCAGTGCTTTAGCTGAAGAGCGAAAGCCGAAGACGCGTGAGGCTCAGGAGCGGAAGCCTTCAACCGTCGAGGCTGTTGTCCAGACGGAAGGCCTTCCCGATGTCGTTGCGGTGCCGAGGGAGCCCAAAGTGGATGTCAAGGTCCAGCCGTCCAACAAGTTCTGGTGCCTGGAATGCGACCGCCGTGCGTCCATCGAGTGCATCGACCGGGATCTCCACACAGTGCGCAACTGGCTGGGTGTCCATGCCACGAGGTAAGTGTCCAGCTGGGTCGACGATTACTGACACATTTGAAACTTAACTGTCTACTAAGTTCACGCAAAATGCCTCTTGACTTGATGCACACAACTTTTGTCGTGTTTTGAGGTGTAATTTCTGTACAAATTAGTACGTAAATTAGTTACAATTTTTAGGAATACTTGTGCACAGTATGCAAACACTGTCTCTAAGTCATGTTTAAAATTGTTCACTGCTTAAAATTGCGTAGTACCTCGTGGGAAAAAAAGGTCCCATGACATTTAGTGCACAATTTTGTACGAAACACAGCTTCGTGTGTGAAAGAACTTTTTGTACAAATTTCGTTCAAAATTCGGCACACCTCCCCCCCCCCATTTATTTTTGCTAAAAATCATGCACTACGAAAAACTCATCTGCTTAAAACAGTGACCACTCGTTCAAAACTTGTACAAAAACATTCAGGGTGTACAAAGCTTGTTTACGCACAATTAAGGCAATAGTTATGGACAACAAAAGCACATAGACATTTTGTGTGTAGTAGTACGTACTTGAGAATGCATGCGTGCAAGTACACAACACGGTTAAAAGAAATTCGTTGACCCAACGAAAAAGTACGTTGGTTCCGTGATAACTGAAAAAAAATAATTGTTAGACTAACGCAAAGTTTGTTCGCGGAACGATTAATTTCTCGGTACGACGAACAATTCGTTGGCGGAGCAAGAGAGAGAATTGGAGGGACAAAATCATGAATTTGTTCCTTTGACGGATCTTTTTGTAACGCTAACAGATTGTTCGTTTCACCAACAATAATGTCGTTGCTGAAACAAAGTTTTCGTTACTCCAACAAATTTTTTAGGTTTTCTCGGAATCGACGTACTTTTTGGTTTGGTCAACGAACTCCTCTTTCCCGTGAGCTACACTGGTAAAACTAAAGCGTAACTGTATGCTTGAGTCAAGCATAAAGTAACGCTTGAAGACGTTGCGCTTGAAATGGAGCATACTCTGGAAATTCCCCCATGCATTTAGATAGGGGAAATCTTGAGGGAAGAGCCTGTTACGCTTGATTTCAAGCGTAAACCAATTACGCTTGAAAACAGAGAGTAATACAACGCTTTAGTTTTACCAGTGTGCAAACGCGTTCTTGACACTGCAGGTACGTGCAAGTCAAAGGACAGTTGGATGCGCTGTCGTCGGCCGAGAGCTCGCTGGACAGCCTGCAGGAGGTCCTGGACACGGCTGGCCGGGAAGCCGCTCCGGAGCTGGAGGCGTGGCGCGGCCGCCTGGAGGAGGAGAGGCGCGTCCTGCTGGAGGCGAGGAGTCGTCTGGAGGCCGCACTCGCTGGAGACGCAGCGGCTTGGGACCAGGCCAAGGAGGCCACGCCGGAGTGCGGTAAGTGCGGGGCAAACAACTTGAATTTTGGTCTACATTTTCCTTGAAATAACGTGAAATACCGGTGAAATAACATGAAATAACGGTGTAGTAACGGTGAAATAACGGTGAAATAACATGAATTAAAACGGTGTAGTAACGGTTAAATAACGGTGAAGTAGCGTGAAATTAAATGAATAACGTTGAAATACCCTTAAAATAACGTTCAAATAGTGAAGTAACGTGAATTTGAAACAACGGTGTACAAATTTTGACGAAGTTGTTTGCCCCTCGGCGGTAAGTGCGGGCGCTGCTAGTCTGTGTACACTGCAAATTCAAAGGCAAAGAGGCAATACATCAGTATCCTTTCTGGCGATACAACGGAGTATGGCCATCCAACGGCCTTGCCTTTAAATGTAGCCTTCACAACGGTGGTGCACTGAAGTATCGCCAAAATCTGACAATAAACAAAGAACTAGTCACCTTGTTCTGGCCAAATCGTGGCAGTACTCTAAAGAATCGCCGAATTGTGGTGATTGTTTCGTGTATCGCCGGTTTGAGGGCAAGACTTTGTTGGTAACCCCATTTGTTGGTGAAACTCGAATGTACCACCGAAACAGGTGCGAAACGTATCACCTTTAAATTTGCTGTGTTCTCCTATTCTTCTAAGGGAGCTTCTGGTAGAAGCCCTTTTTAAATGGCAGGAAGTAAATTTTAAGATTTCTGTGTCTGATCCCTTGCAGATTTTGAACACGCTTCATTTTGACAGAATGTAAAGTGTCATTCGACCTATTTTGGCAATTTTATTGGAACGTTTAAAATTTTGGTTGTCATGTTGGTATTCCCGCTCAGATCTTGGGGAGGAAAACCAGCCACAATAAATGAAGTAGTAGTTTTTTTCTGCATAAGCTATGCTTGAAACCGTCCTTGCGTTTCAAAACACATGAATTTTTTCTCTTAAAGGCACATTTTCGTTCGTCGTTGCGCACAAACTCGTGCATTTTGAAAATCATGCATAGTTTGTGCTTAGCTTATGCGCTTAAACTTGCAATTTACTGTGTTGTTTCTTGGTTGTTTTTAGTCAATAGTATATTTGAAAAGTTTAAAGTCTTAGATAGTAAATCATTTTTATTTTGTTGTTAGAAACTAATGAAACACTGAAGTGGCCTGGTGTGTGTGAATGTGTGTGTAGCTCTAAGCCAGGAGGCCTCCCAGCTGCTCGCCCACCTGTCGGCCCCCTCAGCGTCCTTCAGCTTCAGGTTCCAGGCGGGTGACTCTGCCAGCTGGAGCGCCAGCCTGGCCGTCCGCGAAGACCCTCTGGCGAGACATCTGCTGTGCAGGAGCCTTCTGAAGGTAGCAGGAACGATCCACTGAAAATTAAATGGTAGATTGTAGCGTCAAAATACGGCGAAATGAAAAGTCAAGTTTTGGTTAGGCCTGAAAATCTCGCCGAAATATGGTCAGGCAAATATGTCTTGCCACTTATAGGTGAGATTTTTTTGTGATGGGTCCACCAATCAACTCAAAGGTGTACACACTGGACCTGTTTGCTGGACAACCGCACAGGAGAGCGCCAGACACTGGTCACTTTCAACTCATTCAATGTTTCGATGCGCTCAATTGTCCGGGAATTTTGCAATTTCGTGATAGGGAAAATTCAGCTAAAATCTCTATTTTTTGTTCAAACCCTGATTACCCACTTGAATGGAGAGGAATGAGCTTTCCCATCCAGATTTGGACGATGAAGGGTGAGGAAACCTTCCTCATCAAAATGATGATTCTCACCTCAATTTGGTCAAGCCACAAAATATTGTGAGGAAAATATCTCCACTGCTTGTATTTTGTCCGCTTCAGGGCTGCCTCCAGCGTGAGGCTCTCCAGAACCAAGAGTCGGAACGTCTTGAGCGCGAGCAGGAGCGCCTACGGCAGGAGTCCTTGGAGCGGGAGCGCCTACAACGGGAGGAGGAGCGCTTGCAGCGGGAGCGTCAAGAGCAGGAGCGCCTCGAACAAGAGCAGAAGCGCCTTCAGCAGGCGCTCGAAGAGCAACAGCGTTTGCAGCGAGAACGCTTGCAACATGAACGGTAAGAAGCAGTTCACTATTTTACAAGGAGGCGCTCTGAATTGATTTTTCTATTGGCTTTGTACAAGTCGTTATAAATTTTGTACGACACGTGATGTTTTTTTTTTTTTTGTGGATAGACGTTGTGAACCTAGGGGAGTCATTTTTTGAGTTGTTTTTTTTTAAATTCTTTGTGTCAAACCCTTGAACTGTGTGGCTGTCTCGTTTTGAAATTCAAATCTGTTTGTCCATAGGATGACAATTTGTAACTTTTCCCCACAGGATAGGTTAGACCGTCCGAACTATGAAGCCATTTTACACAATTGTAATATTTTGGTTAAGGCAGACCGTTGATATTTTCCACTTCCTAATTTTTCCAATGTTTCACCTCTATGACTCCGCCACTGAACTACGATATCTTCAATCGGACAAGTGAAAGTGGCCGAAAACAATTATTGAAATGTTCAAATTTAAAGGCCTTTTTTGTACATTAAAAATGGAAATTTGAGGCACTTTGGAACCTACTTTATCAATTATCCCAGTTGAAGCTAGAGTGCTAGGAGGGAGGAACAGAGACTTGATATGATGCCACATTCTCTAAAAATCATGCGCAAAGTGAATTTTTGGCGTATTGATCTGACCTAACCGTACCATTTTTTTAAAAATGAAATATACGAACCAGCTTTTGATTGGGAAATCCTACTACCCTTCAAATTTGTTGGAATGAGTTTTTACGTAAGCCTGAAAGTTGTTCAAGTTTTGGTGTTAAAGCCGAGTCTACCCCCTAAAGATTTGGTGGTTTCGGTCTGCACATTCGTTTTTTGTCACCTAAAATACTTATTAGTGCTGTATTATCCAGGATGGCGCGATGCAGTAACTTTTCCATTTTATTATGAAAAAGCTAAAATTCATCATGCCCTCTTAAGTTCCTTCGACAAGAATTGCGACCAGACTTAAAAAATAAATTGGAACGCTCACTTTGGCCACCTCTGTGGTCCAAACCTAAAATTTAGACCTGAAACTTTAAAAAAGTCTGAGAAATGAAATCAAAACAAAATTTCAACTTTCCTTTGAACAACAAAAATCCGGTTTTGATTTTGGTGCCAGAATTATGAAGTGTTTGTTAAAAGTAAAAATAGAACACCTAAATTACACAATCCTGAAAAGAAATTGTGTTTAGTATTTGAATTGATGTTCAGCATAACTGTTTCACCTTGATATAAGTCCTTAATGTTCTCTTTTAATGACGATTGTCTTGTTTTCTTGCAACGTTAACAAATCTTTGTTTCATTTTCTCATGTTTTAGTGAAGAGCGTGATCGCGAGGCCAAGAAGCGCGAAGAGCAACTTGAATTGGAAGAGATGGAATATGGTAGGTTTTCCTAAACGCGTAAATGCACTTGGATGTCCTCGATTCGTCCAGACCTTTTCGACATAAGTCATGAACTGAAGGTCAATCCACCGCGGACTATCAGACATGCGTGCACTCTGGCAACCATGTGACGTCACATTCGTTGGAACGTGAATTGTGCCACATTCGTTTGAATGGTCCACGTTCAAATGTGGCATAGTAGTATGCAAACGCACGTAACGCCATTCATATGTTAACGAATATGACATCGCATTCGTTGAAACAGTGGGCGCACTGTAAACCGTCCTTCGTGTGGTTTTAAGAATGTACACTCACAGAGCACACACCACACATTAAGCTCACACTGCAAAGGCAGTGGTAAGTTTACTTGCCACAAATTTGGCAAGCTGTTTTGAATGCCAAACTTTTGGCAAGCTATGGTCGGAAATCTTCACAAGCTTGCCAAATTTTGGCTAGCTGGGGGGGATTTCCAGGCTAAGCTTGCCAAATTCTGGCATGCTGGGGAGTATTGCCAGGCCAAGCTTGCCAAATTTTGGCATTCAAAACGGCTTGCCAAATTTGTGGCAAGTAAACTTACCACCGGCTTTGCAGTGCATGCTTCAGTTTGATTCTCCGTACAGCTGCGTCCGCCGTCCAGTGGGAGGAGAAGCCCAATGAGGAAGCCATCAGCCGAGAGGAGGCAACTCTGCGCATCCGACAGGGTTGCAAGGTTTTCCTGAGAGACGACAGCGTGCGTAGCGGCGACGTCGTCCAGCTCCAAGACGGACGAGCCCTGGTGCTCTGGGGCAGGAGAGATCGCTCCGAGCACAGCGTCACGGGCCTCAGGACCAAGCCCGGGCTGGCGGTGAGTCCATCTCGAGCCATGATCTGTTGTGGCGCTCTAGATGTCTTGCGGTGAAAGGCTGCAGCACTATATCATGGTAAAGATTTTCTCCATTATACAAACAAAATTCTTCTCTGAGGTACTGTGAATTCACTATAGTATGTTTTAAAGTCAGCTGCACCACCATTATATAGAGAATTCTCACTATAGTTTAGAGAATTTTTACCATAGTAAAGAGAATCTTCACTACAATGAAGAAAATCTTCACTTTGATGTAGAGAATCTTTACTGTAATGTAGAGATTCTATATGCAACTTTTTCAGGAGTGGTTAAAAGTTCATTTGCTGGTAAGATGTGAAGGGATTCGCTTGATCTGTGCACGTGGTGTGTTTGGACGCACCCGGTACCCGTACCCTCTACTTGTCTTCCCCAACTATCCCTGTTTATTTTTTTCCCTCCCGCAGATGCATTATCAGAACATCAAACGACTCCGTTGCACGCCGCAGTTCGACCTGGCCGAGGCAAGCCGTGGTGACGACATCCACTATAAAACAAGGCTCCTCATCTCGAATAGTTTTGAACAGGTAACGTGTAACTCATTTGTTCGGCAAATTCACAGTCATCGCTCTTCTCTGGCGAAACCAAGGCATTAATTCTAGACCCTTAAAGGGAGGTTCTGGTGAAAATCTTGCTATTTTCCAAATGGATCCCACTGTCCTAATTTGTTCGGAATATAAAATCTTTCTTTGAGGAGACTAAAATTTGACTTTTGAAGGCACATGCCAGGCTCTGAACCCAGTCCAAGAGTCTTTTTGAGCCTATTTTGGCTGTATTTTAAAAAATCTTCTTGCGCATACTATTTTGTCGTAAAAGGTTGACCTTGACATTTTTCACTTCTTCGATCCATTTTCAAAAGATGCCGGCATGCAGAGCTCAAAATTTCCATTTCGTTAGTAATTGTTAGCTTTTTAAGCTGAAAAGTCCCTAAAATTTGTCTATTTTGTACATATTTGGTCAATTATAGTGAAATATGTGGTGAGAAAGCTTGCGAATAAAAATGAAATTTACGTTTTGATTTCTGCATGCCGGCATCTTTTAAAAATAAATCGAAGAAGTGATAAATGTCAACACCAACCTTTTACGACAAAATAGTATGGGCCAGAAGATTTTTAAAGTTATAGCCCAAATAGGAGAAAAAGGCTCTGCGACTGGGTTCAGCGCACAGAATGTGCCTCCCCATTGAAAATTTTTAATAATTATTTGGTAAGACATCAAATTTTTATCAAATTTTCACAGTGGGACCTATTTAGGAGAAAATAGCATTTTCACCAGAACCTCCCCTTAAAGGGCATAAACGATTTACGCACTTGGAAAGGCGTGAATCATTCATGCATGTGTAAGGGCGCTGTAAGTTCGCCTTTCTGTACGATTCACGTCCTTCCCAAAGACATTTAACAGTTTACACCCTCAAAGGACATAAGACTGTTATGCCCTAAAGAGCGTAAATTTTATGTCTTTGTTTTACTAGTGTTACTTTCTAAAAATAGTTATGTGTGAAGTCAAATTCAATTCTGCGCATGAGTGCTTTTTGTTTAGAGTTGTACAGAATTTCGCAGAAATTGGTGACGTTTCATGTTGTAGTTCAGGGCACGAAAAGTACATCTTTATGGTGCTGGCAACTTGACTTTGAGCCATACCTCGACTTTTTTTTGCATCTAAACAAAAAAAATTTGAGAATGAAATCCTTGTGAAATGGGTGTATGAGATCTGTAGGGTCAGTGCGGAGAAGAAGCAAACACTGCAGCAGCGGGGGAAAAATCGCTCACGCCAATTTTATTCTGAATCATCTCATTTTGATGTTAAGAAATTCCCTTCCGGTTGTTGGAACACCGCACTCTCAGACTTTTTAGTACATGTTGTTGACATTTTGTCGACAGTACCTCGGGTTATTTGTGGAACAGTAATTAGTACTTTTTGCTTTTGTTTTTATTATCTGTAGTTTTGTTAGTACTTATCGTTAAAAAAATCCCTTTATGCAGTTAATTGTTTGTATCTAAGTACACTCAAAATGCCTGACAAAGAAATAATACGAAGGAAATGGCGCAAGCACATTACGAAGGTGGTTTTTCTTCGTATTACGAAGGTTTTTCTTTGTATCTTACAATGAAAAAGGTAAAAAGATTCGTATTACGAAGGAATATTGCTTGCGCCGAATACACTGTAACATACGAATGACAGAGGTCAAATTTCATTGTAAGACATTTAGAGTGTAGAAAACTACCTATTGTTGTTGTAGGCTGTAGTATTTGGTTACTGACGATAAAGTCGCCGCGAGTGCACGGTAAAAACGGCTCCGGGTTTTCTTAGGAACTCTCTAGAAATCGCCTATGTCTTTATAATGGGCTTCCTGGGAAAACCAGGAACCGTTTTCACCGTGGTACTTGGTCGCGTACACGTATTTGTAACACTGAAAATGGGAATCCAGTCCAATAATGGGGTGTCCTATTTTTCCCATTCCTGAGGGGGCCGGAACTTGCCCATATTCTGAAGTTTTCTCGTCCACTACTTTTCTTACGTAAGTGACGCCTTAGCTGAACATCTCATACTCTAAAATTGCGTGAGAATGAGTTCATGATTGCTTAAATGCTCTAATAGTGCATCTCAGTTAAAATTTTGAGGGGTTCAATAGAAACATCCACTTTTCCGAGGGGGCAAACATTCGCGTAATAACCTGTGCAGGAAAACCGTGTATTACGCATAATACACGTGAACGTTATACCGTTTTTGAGTCAAATGTGCCAAATTTTGGCATTTTAATGTCTTAATACACATGTAATATCCCCGTAGGCACAGCGTAAAACCGAGTAGTGTGTACACTATTTCTCCTAGTGTTTATCCCCTCGCATTTTCCAGTTAAATATTTTTTTCTCCTCAGATGAGGTCGCTGGTTAGGCTGCGGTGCGATGTCTCCGCCGCCTGGACTGAGCGTGTGTTGGAGCAGGCCGCGCCTTCAGTGCAGAACTTGGTCGTTGCTGCCCCCAGCCAGCGGCACCTTGCCCAGATGAAGGGCATGCCCCTGCTGCAGAGGCTGTACATCACCACCAAGACGGAAGACGACATGTCCTTGCCGCCGCAATTGGAGGAGCTCTACTTCAAGGAGGTGACGCCGAAGGTGCTCGCTCAGGTGCGTCCCGCTTGTCTGTCACTCCGCTTAGTTCACTGAAAATAGAAAGGTGAGACTTTTGACCCCTTAAACGGTCTTACTGAAACGTGCGACCGAAAAAGGGTCATACTGAAATGTAAGACCGAAAAAAGGTCATACTTCGATGTATGACCGAAAAACGGTCTTACTTTTTAGTGTATCACGGGTAAAGGCTGAAATATCCCCAAGCTAAACAATAGCCAGTCTCGCTGATGTCTGACCTTTTTTGGTCATACATTTAAGTATGACCGTTTTTCGGTGATACGTTTGTGTATGACTGTTTTTTCGGTCATACTTTTTGTATCACCGAAAATCGGTCAGATGTCTCACCCTTCGAGTTTCAGTGTTGCTCTGCAGACTGATTCCGTGGTCAAGTTTTGTCGCTCTGACTGTCTCGCACTCGTGGGGCGTTCCGTGTGGGAATGGCCGCGAAATTTTTCGAACACGGCGGCGGTCGACATCTTCACAGTGAAAACTCTACGAAGAATCGCTTTTTAACACGAAGAACTGAAGGCATTCCAGAATCTACGAAGAAATGCTTCGTATTATGAAGCAATATCCTTCCGAATACGAAGTATTTCTTCCTAATACGAATCAATTCCACGATGCCTTCGTTTTCTTCGCACTTATGAATGAAATGCTTCGTTGGCTCGTACTCTGCAAACTCAAGTGGGTGCCAGGTATGCACTTCCTGGTGCATGCCTGCAGGCACACACTTCCTGGTGCATGCCTGGCAGGCACACGTTTGTGTCCGCCCCATGATTTTGTTTACAGTAGACGCGTCTCTGTCTGCAGGTGCCGCAACTGTCGCGGCTGAAGCGTCTGGAGATTCACTGCACGTTTGCCAGCCCACTGCCCGTGATGACGTTCCCGCGCGTCGACGCGGGGCTCCAGTGGCTGCGCGTTGGAGTCTACCCGCTGGCCACGGGCATGGCTCTGGTGAGGGCGCACTCCGCCTCTCTGGAGGAGCTGGAGCTCGTCGCGGCGGCCGACGCTCCGTACGGCTGTCCGGACATCGCGCACGAACTGCGCCGCTGCAAGCTTAAGGTGATAATAGTGGCGGATCCAGAGGCGGCCCATTTGGGGGGGGGGGAGTAAGTAGCACTAGGGGCTATGAGTGAGTAGGGGACAAATTTGGTAACGGGTGTTGGCATGCGGTCGCTCCGATTCAGGGGTTTGGGTCTCCTTCGAGATCTTTAAAACTAGGGTGTAGTTTGAAAAGCGCTTTACATAGATCGAAAAAGCATGAAATTTAGGGTAGGATAGATGTATTGCTACTCCCGTATTTTTCCCAGAGAAATCATAGAGAAAACACCAAAAAGTACATGAAGGGGGCTCATACATGTTAAAAGCACTTTGTAAAAAAACTTTTTTGATGTAGACGGATTAAGAATTTACAATTTCTGTGTTAAAACCCATTTAGGTAATTAAGTAAGCTACATTTTGGCTTAAAGTGAAGTGACTTTGGACATTTTTTGGAGATTGAGTCGAAACGTTTTAAATTTTGGTTCTCGAAAGATTTCGTTTGCATACTTGCTGAGATCTGTGGGGAAAAAATCAGAGAGACTTATCCCTAGTAGTGTCATAGAATTGACTACAATGGGCTTTATATCTGCAATGGTTTTTCAAGAAAATGAATAATAATAATTTTTTTAATTATTTTTTGAACAAATCTTTTAACAAAAAAATGGTTTTTTTTTTTTTAAAAAACCATTGCAGATATAAAGCCCATTGTCGTCAATTCTATGACACTACTAGGGATGAGTCTCTCTGATTTTTTCCTCACAGATCTGAGCAAGTATGCGAACAAAATCTTTCGAGAACCAAAATTTAAAACGTTTCGACTTAATCTCCAAAAAATGTCCAGTCACTTTACTTTAAGCCAAAATGTAGCTTACTCAATTATCTAAAAGGATTTTAACACAGAAATTGTAAAATCTTAATCCGTCTACATTTAAAAAAATAATTTACAAAGTGCTTTTAACATGTATGAGCCCCCTTAAATCAAGAAATGAAGGAAAAACATCAAGGCATTCACCTTGATGTTAACGCTTCCTCTGTTGATCCAAGTTGCATTCAGAGGTTCAACACTGGCAATACGCCTATGCTACCCTAAATTTTATGTTCTTTCGATCCGTGGTAAGCGTTTGACAAACGACGGCCTAGTTTAGAAGATCTCGGAGAAGGCCGGAGAAGGCCCAAACCCCTGCACCGTGCGACCGCATGACTTCACGCGCTCCCCAGGCCGTTGCCGCCCCCTGGTGTTAGGTCGCCGAAATTTGGGTAACGTTGGCGGCGACGCCGTGTGGTCCCCGATGACCGCTATGTGGCGTTGTGGCGTCCGGGTCTCACAGCGTCTTTAACGCGACATGGCGGTCATCGTGGTGGCCCCGGAAGGAAGCCACCGGGGACCTCACGGCGTCGTCGACGTTACTTGAAGGTTTTCTACATTAATGTGAGTCTTTTCCAATGTGCCCGCAGAGCCTGAAGCGGATGGTGCTGCTGCGCGAGGCGAGGGATGCCTTCTGTCGCCACGAGGCGGCAGCCTGCCGCCAGCAGAAAGTGGCCATTTGGAATGCCCTGATGGAGACTGGCTCCCTGCCGGTGGTTCTCTGCAGCGTGTGCGATGACCTGGTGTCGCCCATCGTCATCGACTAGGCTCGCCCCGGTGTCCTCGTTGAATCGACTCTGGTGTCACCAACAAATGGATTAGACTGACTCTGGTGTCAACGATTGATCGATTAGAATGACCCTGGTGTCGTTGATCAATCGACTAGACAAGCCCTCGTCACACGATGTAATGCATTACGTTGAGTTTGTTCGGCAGTATTGTTTCTTTCGCTATGTTTACTTTAAAATCACTCCATGTTTGTTTAAGGAGTTGAGAGTTTGTGTTGTTTTCGTCGAACGTATGGAAAATACATTTTTCTTCATAATTGTGTTCTGAGCTCAATATTTATACCCTGTGAATTGTTGGAAACTGAAGCGTTGGACGCGGTCTGACGTACTTAACCTCGTAGGATTGTCAGCAGTCGTGATGTGAAACGACACTCACGTGAACCTACTCTGGTAAAACTTAAGCGCAGTTCTACGCTTCTTCGAACGACGACGCTGAGATTGTGCGACTAGCGACAAGCGTGCAACTATGATTCAAGGCAATTTCCCCACGCATGGAAGGAAAGGAGCGGGTGAGCTCTTGTAGGGTTACCAATCATGGATCATTTTTGTGAGCGAGCCCGTACCACCAAACCAATCGACCAATTCAATTTTTTTGAAGTTTTCCATGTAGTCTGCACTTTTGACTGCAAGAATCACGCGCGGTGCACACGTAATGTTTTCATACAAATTATGTACGAGACATCAGTTTTTTGTGCACACGAACTTTTCGTACAAATTTGTACGAATGTTTGCACACAAAGGGGAAATTTGTGCAGTTTTTCGTACAAAAATTGTACGAAGTTCATGTTCTCAAAAGACTGCGATGTCTCGTACAAAATTGTACATAACATTTAGTGTGTGGAGCTGATCATTCTTACCGTTACCGTTACAATATGCAAATGAAAAAGTGCCTCTGAAACAGGGTCCGAACACGGCCTGGTTTCAGGTTAGGTTTGAAGTCGCAATTCAAAGCGTTGTTACAAAGAGTCCAATCATCAGAAATGTCTAAAAACTTTTTCGTGGCACCTTATGAGTGTCCTTTCAAAACTTAGACGAACGCAAGTTGCCTGAACGCCCTATCAAGACGCGAGGGGGGGGGGGGGGGAGGATGACCCAAACACTGAGATAATCACAAAGACAACCTCCTCTCAAGAACTAAACATCTGGTAACAAATACTTTGAAATTTTCAGGTCATCGCTTGTTTGAGCCGAAATACAGGACATTTCTAAAAAGTGATCCATGTATGGTGATTTTATCCTACGTTTCAAGAAGGACGTACAGACTGTACGCTTCACGATAGGCGAAAAATCTGGGTCAAGGAGTAGTACACTACGCGAGGTCCATAATACTGTTTCCGCAAATTTTTCGCGGTAGCACGATAAAAAAGCGTCAAAACTGATCATGGGATCTTTTTATACTGAAACTTATAGTCAAAATCACAAATTTTGATAGGTGTCTTAAGCAGCTATTGCGGAGTTTGTCGAATTTCTCTTGACCACAGCAAAAAATACACAGGTCGCTGGTTTGAGCGATTTGGGCCAAACGGTGGGACCTAAAAGATCTAAACTTGGTGTGAACAATCTAAGTACATGTCATTCTGGTGTGAAGAAGGGAAAATTTTTTGGAATAATTATTAGCACCTCAAAACAACCCGGCAAGATGGCAAGTTCAGAAAACAGCAATTTTCTAACCAATTATCTTCCAAAAAACTTGTGTTTAAATATAGCAAAACATAATTGATCACAGTTATCCTAGTTCACACCAGATTGACGGGTCTCAAGGTTGTCTGTACGAAATCTCACCCAAATCGAATGAAAACTACGGTCTGTATCACGCAAACCGTGTTGTTTTTGCACCGGTTTCACAAAATTCGTGCCTCCGACTGCGCTCCATACGTGGGTGATTCCGTGCGTAGGGGGTCATTTCAGGTCACCGGGGCCTTGCGCCTGAACTGAGGTTGATTTGGTAGCTTGGGCAATTCAAATTTGTTTTACTAAACGAAGACCATGTCCTCATGTGGATAAGTCGATCTAACTTTTGTTTATCTGGGTTTCGTAAGCTGCTAAAGTGTCGTTTTGTAAGTTCCGTCATGGTCACCAACACCTATAAGACAACATTGCCATGCTGTAGTATATGACTCAGCCACATCAAAAGAAAACTGGCTATTTCACTCTCTCCTCTGACTTATTCTTCACAAAATTACGGAGGGTGACCTTTGTATCATCACTTGTTGAACCCGAAACAGCCTTTGGGAAAATGTCCACCGTGTGACCATGTGACCTATGCTGTTTTTACAAATGACGGTCTACTGGGGTTCCTTTTCATTTTAGAAACTCGCGACCACTTGGGATCGAAAGAACATAAAAAACACTTCCAGAAGCCCGTGCCCACGGGACCTGGGGCGGTCAAACGACGCTTCCAGGCCGTCAGAAGAGTTCAAAACGGTAAGGGTGTAAAAATGGATGTAAATTCCGTTTCGGGCCGTAGCTCCTCCATCTTAGGGAGAAAGTTCCCACAACCTTCGCTGAAAAATGCTATTTTGGATGCTGAAAATGACACCGTCAACAGTTTTTACCTATCTTGTAACCCAGCGGTTCAGGAGACTAAAAACTTCGCTTCGTAAATTCCGTAATCTGTAAATTCCGTCATTATTTCTGTAAATTCCGCCGTATTTCATAGGGAGTGAAAAAAAAAGTCAACTTGTAGCGCTGCCACGCTCAGAGGGGTACTATGGGGTGCTATGTATGCCATCTACACCAAATTTAGCCCCTAAAGTTGAACTTTAAAAAAAGAACATTTGGTACATCCAAAATGACCCCCTACGCACGGAATCACCCACGTGTGATTTTGGCCCGAAATGAAAGTCAAATAAGGTCCCATGGTCAGTTTTGGCGTACCTTACCTACTCTACCCGCAAATAATTTCCGGTAACAAAATTTTTTAAAACTTAAAACTGTCTAGTTAACCTAACCGCAATCCTTCTGGATGTGCCGTTCCCAAAGCCGAATCGGTTCAAAGATTCGGAAAGTGTCAATGCAGGAGAAAAGCATGTCTGCAACAAACAAACTCATCGGTTGCCTAATTTACCTTTATTTACCAATAATTAATGCCCAGTACAAATTCATATGTTTCCTTAGATACGCTGGGCCCTGCCATAAAACAGTCAATTGAAACTGATAAATCATTTTCCTACCCCTCAAAACAGGACAAATTTGTACAATGTTTCTCACTTTCTCTGCGCAAAAAATTGAGTCGACATCTGTTGTCAATTGTGTTCATAAGTCGACGGATAGGTTGAGCACACAGTTCATCACTGAATTCAAGTACGAGGCACGACTAGCTGGTGACAGTCATTTCATCCCTAAATTCAGGAATGAGGCACGACCAGCTGGTAGCAGCCTCGCGGACAGCCAGCGCCCCTCCTGTGCGACGAGAAAGCCAATCGCAGCAGACCAAATGGAGCCTTCAGCTCCTTGTGACAGCCCTTCACGCACCACTCACACGGGCAAACGTCAAGATGGAGGACCGTCGGCGGATAGAGGCGCAGGTGGAGGCGGGGGTTTCTCAGAAGGAGGTCCAGCACAGCATCCTGGTGGATCGAGGAGTGCAGGCAGGAGGCTCGCGGGACCACCGACAGCGTGGTGAGGCTGGGCGCAGACTCGGGGCTGATTGCCTTCAGGAGGGAGTCCGCGGACAGATAGAGTGTGTCGAAGGACCGCAAAGATGGGAACCGGCGCAGAACGACAACAAGGTCCTCAAGTGCAAGGTCCAGGACGGTCGCCACAACGATGCTTTCGACCAGTCCAGCCGAGCGCGACCGGCCTAGCGCTAACAGGAGTGATTTGGACACGGCTGGGGTCAGATGGAGCGCCACCGAACGCAGGTGCGAAGCCTGGGCGAGGAAGTCTCGCGCACCCGGAGGAGTAACGTTACGCTTCAAGTCGGTCAGGACGATGGACTGGAGGTTGGCCAGCGTCAGCAGCAGCGGCAAGTCATCACGCGGGGCACAGTGCAATGTGCGGAGACCAGGAACCCCCGCCAGCAAAGCCGCAGGCAGGTCCTGCAAGCCTGCAAGGCGGACCTCTTGCAAAGTGGCCGCGTGTGTCTTGAGCAGCAAGACCAGGAAAGGGTCGGCGGATTGCGACTGGTACACTAGCTTCGTCAGAGACGGCTCCGCCTGCTGCTGGCGGAAAAAAGCAGCCGGTTCGTCGCTGTACCTGACGTCGACAGTCAGCTCCTGGAGACCCTTGATGCCGCAGACGGCCTTGAGCAGAGGCATCATTTTCTTCGCCGGAATGAACTCCATGCTGATGTCCAGCTTCCTCACGCCACCGCCGGCACCCAAGTGCTGCACCGTGTTCACGGCCAGGGGCACGTCGCGCCTCGCCTCCACAGACACGTGCAGCTCTTCCACGACGCAGGCGGTCCTCGGTCTGGGCAGAGGCGCTAAGGGGTTGGCCCAGGAAAGCCACACCTCGCCGATGCAGGGCGCGAGGCGCAGCGCGGCGCGCACCACGCCCGAGTCCCTGACTCGAACGGTGCGCCAGAGCTCGCGGTGCAGGCACAGGTCCCTGAGGCGGACACACACCACGCGGCAGCTGAAGAGCTCCCTGGCGGGCAGGTGGGCCAGCACGGCCAGCAGCACGTCGTCCGGCAGCGAGAGCAGCTGCGAAAAAAAAGGTTAAAACTAGATTGAAAAGTCTAGGGACGTCCGTTTCTTCATCAATTCAATTTCCGGAGGCTTCGTTTATCAAGAACGCGGTCTTTAGGTGACCGCTTTCTTGAAAACGCAGCCTCTAGTTGGCCCCTTTTTTTTGTTCCGTCCGATCCTCTACTTATGGCGGTCACAAACACTTTTCTTTTACAAATTCAAAACGGCTTCCCACTGTAGCAAGATATGTAAAACAGTACAGAAAAATAGCAAATTTCTTATAAATACCGTAGGACGGGGCAATATGAGACATGAAGGAAAATCGAGACAAAGCGTACTTTTTTCGGTTTTTGTCGTGTTGCTCTCAAGCGGTCGTTCGGAAGACCACCGAGAATTTTTTTCGTAATCTAGGAGGCCTTGGCAGCTCACGAGAAACGCACGAAGGCAATCATAGTCTCGCCAGGATTATTTAGATCCAAAGGAAAAACCTCTGAATTCTGACAAGTTTTATAAAGTTAGTAAAAAACCTCCCCAGAAACCTGGGTTAGAACTCGGGTTCTCGTCCGAAAGAGATTTAAATCTGTAGGCGATCATGACACCATAATCAGGACAAAATTTAGATCCGTTATGTCTACTGTCTACTCCCGGGCCGCCTGTTTCAGAAGGAATACATGTTTTTGTTACCTTGCAGGGAAAATAGAGACACCCATTTCCGCTTGAAACATGAGGCCAAACATACTCCACTGTTAATTATTTCAAGTAATAACGATTTTATCACGAATTTCTTTCACCACCTGACCGGTATCTATGCTCTTCGTTAAGTATTTTCAATTCACACACCGTAAAAAATTCCGTACTTTTGTACGAAAATGGTACAGAAAAATATAGGACGGAGGTACGGAGAAAAGTACGGAACGTTCCGTAGTTGGCAAGTACGGACGGTCTAGGCAAATTATTGACCAGACATCTTCTGTACTTCTTTTCTCACAGTGCAGGTTAAACCAGGGCACAACTCATGACTTCTTTTACATTTTTCAGCTCTCTTTTGAGACACCCATTTCCCTTCCCTCCAGATTTTTTATCTCATTCATCATAGTACCCCCCAATCATCTTTAAAATGAGTGCCAACAACTTAAACAGCTCCAGACCCGCCTAAATGTGCCAATTTTGTATACTTCTTAGCCATCTTCCTCTTTTGTCTCATATTACGCTACATTGCAGGGAAATATGGGACGGAATTCAGAGGGTTATTGAAAGGTCCCTTCTCCACCTAATAATCTGAAATCTGGTGGGAGTGTAGCCAAAGAGTCAATGAACTGGTGATGACCACCTTAGCACCTCAAATTGAAATTGAAAGAGGTAAATTGAATTCACAGAAAACCTCGAAATTTGTCTCATATTACCCCGTTATACGGTACGTGCCCTTAATTATGTAGCAATACTTCAGCAACCTACACCTACAATTTCATGTTTTACTTTGTGCACCCTATTTTAAGCTGGTTTGCATCGAAGCGTACATGTTTTGACCCTCTCTTTCCTTGGCTCCGTACAGCCACGGAAGTGGTTTTTCGACTATGGTTAAAAATGCTTCAGATATGTTGGTGACTTTCTTAGACTGTCACACGAAAACCGACTGAACTGAGTCGGGGGTATGATCCGACAACGACTTGAAAAGACCGCCCGTCCTCCGGTCCAATTTTCTTCCCCCAGGCCACACATTGTGTCCAATACCTTCTTCAAATTTTACTTTCAGAAGACAATTCGTCCCGCCTGGCAGACTCGTAATTTTACCACCGTCGGATGTACTTAAAATTGCATCATTTAGGGAACAACGTGTAGTTTCCTACAGGAGTACGCCAGACCCTGTCTTGCCGTAACAGGCTTCGCGACGGTTGCGACAATCCGCGCTTCCTGTTTGCCATGGCAAGCCGTCATAGAAATTCATGTTGGAGCAATGAGTAGATCACTCCGTGATAAAGAGTTTCACAAGCATGCCGCAATAAAATTTTTCAGTTGATCCCTTCTTGCCAAGAACCTAATCTGGCAGATCGGGGCCCTGGACCACTGCAGTTAGCATAGCAAGTAAGGACTCACCGTAAATTTGTCCATTATGATGGAGTATCACAGCACAGGAGGGATGATCCGCAGCAGTCGAGGCACACGGACCTTCACAGCACCAAGTCAGCTGATTTCTTCAATGGCTTTCTGTGAAGAAGAGAGATTGAAACAGTAACATAACTGGACATACATTGACGAAAGGAAAGCTGCAGAAAATTCCACCGCCGCAATTATCAAGGGCATTTCAAGTTTCATATTACAACGCTTACTTGCATTTTGCCAATCTAAATTTAAAAAAAAAAAAAAATGTTGAGAACCTCTTAGTAAGTATCTGAGGACGGACTAATTTATGGGCAGATGAAGGAAGAGTACCGACACCTGCACGCTGAGGCGACGGGTAGCGGGTCGGTTTCGTAATCGTGAGAATGATTAAGCAACGCCTTTTGAAAGGAAAATATCTTTTGCTCCATTGCTTACTCAACGTCTTAGGGATACATCTAGAGCTTTTCGCCCCTACCTTACGGTTTGAATGTTACGGACACGAAAGCCTTTGTAATGCGAATAACATCGTCCGTAATACAAACCAAATCGATTCGTAATAGGGTACTTACGAAGATCCTGAACCGGAAGCTAACAGACGCCATGTTGCCGGAAGCAGATCAAGACTTGACATGCGAAAGAGACGATAGTCAAACGTATCGACCTCACTTGAAAATTACCAGTTGTTTCATATTAATTCGCAGTGCACGTGTTTCGCGAGCAATGTTTGAACATGCAGCTCGGCTATAGTTATAGTTCCGAAGAGAGGTTAGGTTCCGGGCAATATGGCGTCTGCCTGCTTCCGGTTCAGGATCTACGAATCTACGAAAGTACCCCATTACGTTTGCACAAACCCGTCCGTATTGCGGATACGTGGTGTCCGTTAGGAGTCTTGGGTGTACATCTGCACTTGGCAATCCTGAAACAAAGCTGTAGTGCAGTGCCCGGTATAAGGGTCACTGAAAACTCAAAGGTGACAACCAAGTAGACCACCTGCTCTGTGAAAAAAACCGTGAGGCTGTGTTACGCCGCTCCGTGATTGGTCAGTGTGGTAACCGTGCTCAGCCTTCTAGATACTTCTGCTACTGCGCGTGTAATTTCTCATAGCTGCTCGGTCCACCCCATCCCCTTACACTCTCAAGCTCCTGCAGCTCTGGAACCTTCAAGGCCCACACTCTTAAAACCTTACGAAGTATTTTGAGCATACGTATAACAAACTAAAATACTTTGTTATACGAAGAAATAGTTCGTAAATTACGAAGTATTTTCTTTGTAAGCTTACGTATGCTCAAAATACTTTGTTATACAAACTACTTTTCTTTGTAAGGCCCAAAATAGTTTGTAAGGTTTTCTCAGTGCAGACAGAATAAATATCTTGGAGTTGCCCTCGCAGCCACTAAGACCAAGTGCATAGCCCGACTTGCCTTTTTGAAATCATAAGCAAGCGTCCGTTGGGGGGCACAACCTGCCCTAATGCTGACTGTAAAAGTCGTCTTCAGACCTCTAGTTGAGTACGGCGCAGGCCTGTTTGAGGCAAGGACAAAGAAGAGTAGGCATGGCACGGCATGGAACGGAATTAATATTGCGATCCTGGCGACAGCGCCAGGTCTGGGTCGCATGTATTTGTTATTTTCACATTAAATAGAACGAATAGCAACAAATGAACGTTACATCCCATTGCCTTATTAAATGCTAGATTTTTCAAGCTCGTGACATGGTACTGTAAAGGGCCTCAAGTAATTATTAGACGGACTGTTTGCTTAACTACATTTCATAACCCTACCTCCATGGCACCTTCGGAGCCAAGTTGCGTCCCCGTTGCAGCCCTGTTGGTTGTGCGGTGTTTTGAGCTGGACGACCGTCACTTTGAACGGCTCACCACGAACTAAAGACGGGATTGTAACCTCTTAAATCGACTATTAGCAATTCAAATATGATCTGAGCGCACAATCCTCCTAGCGTCTGTCATCACACGCCGCCATGTTTGTTGACCCAGCTGAGCTCGGAATCGACTGTGACAGTAGAGCCCATCATATTAGTGTTTGCATGTGATAAGCCGAGTGAATCATGAGTGCCAGGTAGAGGACAGTTCTCAGTTGAAATCTGACAAAGGATATAGATGCAATTGCCTTTTATTAATGGTTTCACACCAAGGGGAAATAACTTTGAATTTCAGTGTACAAATTTTTGAATTCCACATGAATTTTGGATGAATTTCAATGAATTGCAGTCAAATTTCTATGAATTTCGATATGAACTTCACTGGGTTTTGAAGAATTTCTTTGAATTTCTACTAATTTTCATGAATTTGGAAGAAATTGGACTAAAATTCAACATTGACCATGAATTTCGGTGTACAATTTTTTTTAAGTTGTTTCCCCTTGTTTTACACTGCCAGCAGATCTTATAATGAGGCCCCGCCTCCACACATCCAGTGCCACATTTTGACATTCTACCCGTGGATGGATCCAACATCAAAACATACTGACACATGACAAGAACACTCAAAAATGTTGTTTTAATATATATCACATAACGATATGTTCTAGGCTGCTTTTGAAGCTATTGTCCTGAACAACTATTGCACATACAGTAACACATAAATGATCAATGGAATGACATGATGATAATTTACATACAGGTTTGCAGGTTAAAAATACACAAATAAAACAGGGCTAAAACGTGACACTGTCTTTGTGGTAACCAAAGGAGGAATGAAGCAGCCCATGCAGCCATGCAGCGGTGGGCAGCTCTGTCAATTAGTCATGATAAGGTGCAAGACGGTGCACTGCATTAGCTTGCAGATGCAAGTATGCATCAACAGAATTGATGACTGACAATGACACGCACAGTGAAGACTCCACTGTTTAACATCGTTGACTTGGTCCCCTGCACACACATGAACACATATATAAACATATAAACAGCTTGCACACAACAAATTCCAAATACACAAGCACTGCAGATGGAACACTCACCCTGAAGTGGGACACAAGCTTCCTGACCGCACCTTCAGTGTCCTGGAAGTCAGAACCTTCATGACCCTTCACAGAGATGACCCAACAGCCTTCGGGTTGGGAGTAGGACGGAACCCGGAACTCCTTACACACAGACACCTCACAACACATCAGATCCATTTCGAACATTTCAAATAGGTCAAGGAGCATCTGCGGGCAGAAGGGAGATACATTGTAGGAGCATTATGATTGATGGCTGGCACCACTGGTGATAGTATCACAGACCTACCTGCCTGACGATGGGGATAGTCCTGACAATGGCAGCTGTTGTCATATGCTTCGGGCAGGGGAGAACTCCGAGGACGAAGAAGATGTCCCTCACCCGTCTGGATTCGCACGAGCACTGTAATTGGAGAGGAGAGAGGGTATGGAGGGCCTAAATATTACAATACCAACAGGGGCTTGAACCAACCTTAACCTCGACGGAGGGAGGACCGCCGCGGCAGTTCTGCACCGTGCCGGTTGATGGGGCCATGTTGTTTGCGGGACGCAGGAGCTGAGGTGCTCGCAATGTTCCGGACTTATACTTATATTGGCTTTGGTTCCGGACGTCGTGACGGTTGAGAAGTGACGTAGAGACGTCGTGACGGTTGGTGACGGTTGAGAAGTGACGTAGACTCCCAAGTGACGCAATGAGCGCCTGCAATTTCTCATCGCCGAATTTTCCATACGTCGAGATCGATGTATCGTTGAGGTTCGATGTTCAATGACAGTCGTGGAGTCGTGTCTAAAAACGTCAACGTCACTTCACTTCGTCTGCGTCTGACATCGAGTTCGGTCCTAGGTATAATTTGCACATTTCAAGAGTGATCCTAGCTCAGCGGTTCCCAACCTTGGGGTCGCGACCCCAAATGGGGTCGCGGAAATTTTTTGGAACAAATTTGGGGTCGCGAACCGAAAAAGGTTGGGAACCGCTGTCCTAGCTGCTGAAATGGCTGACACCTACATCGATCTCCCATGCTTGTGCTATGGCGTTAATGAGAACACTGAGGCCGCGGAGGCCTTTGATGTAAGTGGAAGATGTGCAGAACTTAACCTAACGCCCCTTTGTTTATGGAACTCACCTCCCGTTTCTTATTCTAGAGACTGCAGCGGGAGCTGCCCGCTGTCCGCGTGGTGTCTTTGTCGACCCGCAAGTTCAAGAGACCTGGCACCACTGAACTGCGGTGGCACGTGGAGCTGGCGCCAGGAAAGGACGAGAACGTTCATGACATGAATACTGCAGTGAGACGTTTAAGAGTAAGTGCCATTGTGTATTTAACCTCACTGTCATGATTACCAGTAAATGTTGAGTGTGACGTTTCTCGTATTGTTGTTCATGTGTATGTGCAGGGCACGAGAGTGGAACTGTTGATGGAGAGGAATCTTTTGGTGGCAGTAAGATGCCACATGCCTGGCCATCCTCCATGCGACTGCGAGCCCCCAACCAACTACTAGACCAGCATACTATGTGAGTCTCCCACTGGTTTCATTGAATGCGTCGAAGTGGTTCTGCCTGCGAAGCCTGGAGGCCTGCGAAGCCCGTCCCGTTTATTTTTTTGTAAAAAAATGACGGAGGGACGGGCATATAGTATGATCCCTGCTGTGCGTCCGTTCGTCCGTTCGTCCGCGGACTTCCCGTGGTCCGATCTTGACCAAATTTGGTATGCAGCCTCCTTGGGTGACCCTAAGAACCGCCCGGTGGCAGCAAATCCGATCCGAGCCCCGGGGGCGCTGCTGCAGGTGCATCATGGTCTACATGGGGTCGAGGAGGATTTCGGCAACGGATACAGCTAGCAAGGCATGTAGGGGTATTTTTGGAATCGGGGCGACGAGACAAAACCAATGGTGCCAGTTTCAAGCGAATCGGAGAAGTTTGGACCCGGGTTCAAATCCCAGTGGGGTATATTTTGAACATTCTTTTTATTCGAGTTTTTGCATTGTTTCTTAGGTTTTTGAGGGCGCTGATGACGAAAATAACATCTCTTTTGATCCCAGACTCAGGTTCAAACCCGCCAGGGTTAAACAAAGGCGAAATTCACACATTTGTTAATGTACGGGACGGGCCAAAGTTGCCGATGTATATCGCTACTTTTCCTGTTATTCTGATTTGTTTGGCTATGCTCTGTGAGTTTCCGTGCCACTGGTTTCATTTTATGCGTCAAAGTGGTTCTGCCAATGAAGCCTCATGTTTTTGTCAACACTTTTTATTGTGATCCCTCTTTGTGTCTGTGATGAAATAAGTTTTTAATAAGGCTTCTACACTATGATTATTATTTATTTATTTATATATGTAGCGTGAACTGATGAACATCACTTTTGATTGTAATCCCTCTTTTGGTGTCTGTGATGAACTAAAGATTTAATTAAGGCTTCTACACTGTGATTAATATTTTTTTATGTACGCGTATGTGAATGTTTGAAACTAGAAGGATCCATTAAAATCATTTTGCACCACAATGCTTGTCGCCACTCCTCATTTCCGAATCCTTGCACTCAAAGTTGAAAACACAACTATAAAAACCCTGATCACAGAAATTTGCCATGCCTAGTAATAATACTGCTTGATACTGCCCAGCAGCCTGAAGCAAAATAGACATTATTAAATTTGCAATTTTGAAAACTGGAATCGTGCACGACAAGCAACTGTGGGGCAGGGAAAGTTTCCAGAGGCTTGCTTGAAACATTCTCGAAGCAGAACACACACACCACTGTGGATAACCGTCTTCTTCTTCGTTTTGTTCTTCTTTTCTCTTGCACTTGGGGAAAGATCGGTTTCCCCCGGGCGTATTTCCCAAATCTCCGGAGCGGGCCGCCGACTCGCAGTTGAAGATAAACGCACTCTGGGCTTTTCTTCGAGTCTGCTTCGACATCACAACGCAACCAACGCAACACGGAAAGGACGCCAACATAACCTCCAAGAGTCTGCACCAACATGACCGAAGTCGTTGTCATTACTTTCGGGATGTGTGATGGGGTTACAGGTAGGGCGAGTGCAGGAAAGGCTGGGCCCACACCACCGCACAAAGGCGCAACTGATTTTGTTTTTGTTATCTCTGCAGCAACGTCTACTTGGACGAAACATGGGACACAGCAGAATCCACCTCCAGGCTATTTACTGGATGACGATGATGGTTTACAAGTCGTTTTGGGCTCTGGAGACACTGAACATGAGGCTGAGGAGGAGGCAAAAACCTATTTGAGACGGATAACTCTCATTCACCATGGCTCTGCTGATGGACATGAGGAGATTGTGACTAATTTTTTAGGCATGGACATGAATAATGTTGCGGAGTTATCGCAGGTCCCAGGGCTTTATGACGAATTCATCCCTGCCACCCAAGGTAAGCAAGTCTGCTGTGCGGAAAGATGTTTGCAGCAGGAGCTGCTGAAGCTGCTAACTCATGCAAATGTTTGCATTGTTGCAGACCCATCTGGCAAAGACATGAACAACTCCAGTGGCTCGAGTGGCAGTTCCACTTACTTCTCTGGAGCTGAAGACCGTAAAATAGTTGAGAGTGACTAATGGTTTTCCTTGTGATTTCATTGCAATATTTCTAATGATCAGAATAAAAATGAAGCTTTAAAAAAGAGTGTTTTTGATAGGAACTCCACAGTCATCATTATAATATTCCACAGTTAGTACATAGTGCAAGAGGGATAGGAGAATGACAACATAAGGCTCCGAGCAGTTTCAATTTATTGTGCATAAAGTTATTGCCTATAACACTGCGATATGAAGGTGAGGGACGTTACACACATCAGGTACTCTAAATACATAAAATATTTGGAATGACAATGAGATGAATCCAGTGGATTTATTACGTAATTAAAAGTCCAGTCTCTTCGCAACAACCTGGGCATCAGCTGCGGCCCTGTAAAGATTACACGACACAGATGCCAGGACTGTGTCAGTGCGAACGTTGAGGCCAGTCAGGGGACAGATGTCTCTAGATGTGAAAGTATGACACAGGAACTGTACGAGTCTGCAGAGTTCTGGAGGAACCACAACTACACAACCAGGCTTCCGTGTCATCCCAAGGAATGCATAATACCAGACACGCAATGCCCTTGGGCCAGAGCACTGCCCTAGGCAGTATACATTGTCTCCGGGGCACACAAGATGGTATCTTCCTCGCTCGGTAGGGTTGGACAAAGTGCCCCGACTCATGAAAGTAATGCAGGGCCATCTTCGCCTGGCCATCAAAGCAAGGTGATGATGAACTGGAGATATGGTATTCCCCTGGAACAAGACACAGATATCTCTGTATACATTGCAGTGGTAACTTGCCTACTCGCAATTACACCAGGACAAAGATTTTGGATGGATTTACTGTAATATACAAATGGAACTAATATTTTGCTTTACCTGGGTGATGAACTCCAATGGACACTGGTAGCCATCCACAGGGGCCCCATCAGCCACACCCAAAATGACATTGAGCAAGAGCGCGTTGTACAGATCACCTGCAGGTAAGACAGTAGGAATGTCAGTAAATATCGCAACACACATTGATCACTGACAATCATGACAGACCAGAATTTAAACAAAACAGATGGTTGATGCATAAAGAGGTAATAAAGAGACATAGTTATTACTTGCCATCATCGAGAGCATATGGCATGTTGCCAAATGTGATGCCCATGGAGATGGCGAGCGGCGTAATTCCAGGCGACAGGTCATTCCAAGCCTCCAAGAAGTCAACGTTGCAGTACAGGGGTGACTGCTGAACGCTTTTTATAAATTCCTCCTCAACTGCGGAGGTCACAACCTTGGCGTGGAGGTTCATTTTACGAGCGAGGAATGATACTGCACGCACGTTGCTTGTACGCGTACGCCACTCGGAGAGGAAGAGAGGAAGGGAAGGGGGAGGGGTGGGGGAACACACGGCTGCCGCGGCGTGGCGCGGCGCTGCGCGGGGATGCGGGGGGACGCCAGGGGACAGTAGTTCGGCTGGCCGCCGCAAGGACCGCCACCTCTCACAGATCTGAGACGTCCCTGGCCGGCAAAAATTGTGGAGGCCAGGATGACACAATTTATGCCGGCCAGAGTCGCGTCGCGCGTCTCGACCCTGGCCGGCACCGGCGCTCACCTCCGCGGCCGGCAAAATGACCATAATGCCGGCCAATCTGGCCGGCATTACATATTATGCCGGCCACCAATTCTCAGTGTGCAAGTAACGTAAGGGGCCGTTCAAATGTGACGTCACGCTTTTTAGGCTCATTTTTTGACCCCTCCCCCCCTATAGTCACAAATGGTCACTATTTTGACTCACCCCTCCCCTCCCCGTGACGTCACATTGTCCAAATCATTATTTTTGGCAACGGGAATAGATACGCGACTACATCGTCTTAATTAGGTGCCTAAATTGGAATTTTCTAACAATTTGATTGCATTTTGGAAAGTCCGGTCGAATCTGGTCTAACGCTAACTTGTTCGGAAAAATCTGAGGAAAGTGCAGTTAAAACACCCACGCCAGTGACAATTTAAGCTGAAGTAGGCGGGGATTGCTGATTTCAGTTTATTTTTTAGTGGCTCACTCCATTCATATTTGGTAATTTTACACTACTTAAAAGTGTGATGTCACAATGCCTTCATCCCCCTCTCCCCCATGTCACATTTGGTCACGATTTCTCTGGACCCCTCCCCCCCTTAAAAGTGTGACGTCATTTTTGAACGGCCCCTAACGCGGGGCTGCGCGTATGCATAGGAGCTATGTCGTCCTCCCCCATCCCCGCCCTCCTAGTGGAGGGGGCTGAGTGACCCGTCGACTTGCGGGCGGACTACCTGGCGGACAGACTGTTGCTGCGGTGGCGGAGCCACCCGAACCATCCAATCTTCCAGCGCCTGCTCCCCCACGCCCCGGTGCCTAGTCTGCTTCATACGGGCCGTGCTTCGCGATACCCCATCAAGATTGGCCCACGCCCGGACGACGACGGCGTCGGCCAACAGGGCCGTCAAGAACGGGCTCTGGCGTGACACGCGTGTGGTCGCCACGGACGGCTCCAGGGGCACGGGAGTTGACGGTAAGATGTCGGTGGGAGCGGCTATTTACGACCCGGTAAACTTCCACACGGAAGTATTCAAGCTTCCCAGGGGCGTGCCCGTGTACACCGCCGAACTCTTCGCGATCGCCAAGGCGTTCCAGTACATCCAGGGCGAGAGCTTTGAAGACGCCATCGTCCTGGCGGACAGCCTGTCCGCCCTGAGGGCGCTGAACACGTCCCACCCCACAGCTGCCACCCCCAAAGAACTCGTGGTTGCGCGCCGCGACGCGGTGGCGCTCCTCAAGTCCGGCGTCCGCGTCGCCATTGCCTGGGCCCCAGCGCACAAGGGCGTGGCCCCCAACGAAGCGGCGGACGCCGCGGCCAACTGGCACGGACGCAGGGCAACACCACGGTCCTAAACCTGTCCCCCACGGCCTTCCACGGACATCAGAAAGAAGACGCCTGGTCAACAGTGGTGCCGGGAAGGGTATACGCGGTCATACGCGGGTCATTCCATGGGGGTTCGACATACTTTTGCAAGTGATCTCTCCGATTTCGATGAAACTTTGCGAGCTTGTTGGCTATGGTCTGAAACCCCCCAAAACCAATTTTGAGCAAAAAATACCAATTTTTGAAAAAGTTATGGCTTGCGTTAGAAATTTTGATTTTCGTTGCAGACCTTTTTTGAAAACGCTGTAGTTTCTTCCAAAATGAAGCTACAGAGCTCATTCTGGGCGCATTCGAAAGGTATTGAATTGGACTTTAAGCCTTTTGCAACATTTTGACAAAAATTTTCAAATTTGACAAAAATTGAACAAAGTCAAAATTTTGAACACAATTTTCTCAAAAGTAGCATTTTTGATATTTTTTCTTTTTTGATATGTTATAGTCCATAGTTAAGTCTAGCAACCCTCAAAATTTGGTTGGAAAAAATTCATAAACAAGGAAGAAAAACGGTTTTTAGTGTTGCGATTCGGCAAATTTTCGCTAGTTGGAGTGGTGTGAAGAAGAGCATGATGCATATTTTGAGACCGCAGGTTCTCGATCTTGAACTTGTAGTGTCACTCGGAACAGTTATTTGGGGTGCTGAACCTACAAATAAGGTCTATTTTCGTTTTCGAAATTCCCAGGGGCGGATCAAGAGGGGTGACTTTTCAAAAAAATCATGATTTTTGGATGTTGCAACGCGATTTCTATGTTTTCAGGGGCGGAGATAACGAATCTTGAACGGTGTTGGATGCAAGTAAGCTCTAAAGCTGATCCAACGTATCGTCAAAACAAAAAAATGTGCAAATAGATGATCAAATAGCCCCCTAATGTGAACATCTTTGGCCATTGCAAAAAGTTAAGCCAGCGTTGTTACCTGCACCCCTGTAAACATAAGAATTAACATGCGACATCCAAACATCTCGAATTTGGAAAAGTAACCCTCATTGACGCACCCTGTTATTGAGCTTACCAGGGGCGGATCAAGAGGGTTGACTTTTTAAAAAATCAGGATTTTTTGATGTTGCATATCGTTTTTTATATTTTTGGGAGCGGAGACAACTAATCTTGAATCATCTTGAATGCAAGTTAGCTCCAAAGCTAATCCAACGTATTGTCAAAACATCCAAACTTGGATAAGTCACTCCCTTTGGCTCACCTCGCCCCTGGCAACAACGGGGTGCGTCAATGGGGGTGACTTTTCCGAATTCGAGATGTTTGGATGTCGAAGTTGATTCTTATGTTAACAGGGGTGTAGGTAACAACACTAGCTTTACTTTTTGCAATGGGCCAAAGATGTTCACATTTGGGGGCTTTTTGATCATCTATTTGCACATTTTAATGTTTTGACGATACGTTAGATCAGCTTTAGAGCTAACTTGCATCCAATACCGTTCAAGATTCGTTATCTCCGCCCCTGAAAACATAGAAATCGCGTTGCAACATTGAAAAATCCTGATTTTTGAAAAGTCACCCCTCTTGATCCGCCCCTGAGAATTTCGAAAACGAAAATTGACCTTATTTGTAGGTTCAGCACCCCAAATAACTGTTCCGAGTGACACTACAAGTTCAAGATCGAGAACCTGTGGTCTCAAATATTCATCATGCTCCTCTCCACACCACTCCAACTAGCGAAAATTTGCCGAATCGCTACACTAAAAACCTTTTTTTCTTCCTTGTTTATGAATTTTTTTCCAACCAAATTTTGAGGGTTGCTAGACTTAACTATGGACTTTAACATATCAAAAAAGAAAAAATATCAAAAATACTACTTTTGAGTAAATTGTGTTCAAAATTTTGACTTTGTTCAATTTTTGTCAAATTTGAAAATTTTTGTCAAAATGTTGCAAAAGGCTTAAAGTCCAATTCAATACCTTTCGAATGCGCCCAGAATGAGCTCTGCAGCTTCATTTTGGAAGAAACTACAGCGTTTTCAAAAAAGGTCTGCAACGAAAATCAAATTTCTAACGCAAGCCATAACTTTTTCAAAAATCGGTATTTTTGCTAAAAATTTGGGTTTTGGGGGTTTCAGACCATAGCCAACAAGCTCGCAAAGTTTCATCGAAATCGGAGAGATCACTTGCAAAAGTATGTCGAACCCCCATGGAATGACCCACGCCGTATGACCTATAAATGAAATCAAGGGTACCGTATAACCTATAATTATTTGGAAGTCATACGCAGGTATACGCGTATCACCTCGCGGAAATGACGATATTTGGCCGGCGGACCAGCCGAAAAGTGCCATAGTCGGTGTTTCCCAGGGTGCGGGGCTAGTAGGGGCGACGGGCGATGGCTGGCAAACCATTCTACAGCACTTCGCAGCCAAGGTCTAAAGCCAGGGAAAACAAGGGTTGATGTACAGTTACCAAAAATGGTTGTGAATAAAGAAGTGCAAACATATGCGTGTTTCTTTCGAGCGCCTGGGAGGTAGGCAACCAGTGAGCGTATGACCGTATGGCCTTTAATTTATTTTAGACGGCACCACTGCTGGTCAAGATGGTCTGAAGCCTGGAACACCAGCCTCATCGGCCGCCACCTTCACGGCCTTGAACCGCGACCCCCGCGCCAGCCCTGGTACAGGAAAGTAGAGTAGCCGCAAGACCCTCAGCGCGATGGTCCGCCTCCGCATCGGCCACGCGGCCACCCCCGCGCCCCTGCACCGATGTGCCGGCACGGAGTCGCCCCGGTGCACAGTGGGCCAGAAGCCGGTGGAGGCGGCCAAAACTCAAGACGCGTTTTGACCTGCAGAGTCGCTAAATGGAACTCGAACCGAACGTGTGACCCCACCAATGGATTGCTCCCCGAACGAGGAGAGTCCCGCGCGCACAGCCCGACCCCGCGCCTTCCGATCCATCGCAGCCCCGGGCCACTGTGCGCTATGCGCAAAGGACGGAAAAATAAGAGACTCTCTCTCTCTCTCTGCCCTGCAGCTCTGGAACTCAGTACCAACCAGAGACTCCAATCGGGTAAACGAAGTGGGCGAAAAACATACCCGCACGGCAGCGGCGCGAGATTCAGACTCAACCCGCCCCGCAACGCGCATACCAGACCCGACCCGAGCCGGGCGGCCTAGCCCGCTCGAGACTCTGCGGGTGACGGTAGCCCGCAAGTCTGGAGATGCCCGCACGCCGCCTCGCCCCTGTAGGTAGGCAAGAAAGGTCGCTTGCCTGCGTTGCGGGCTGCCTATTTTCGGGCTGTGCGGGTAAGTGCGGGTATCGACGCTCGCCGACCGCTGCCTCGGCGTTCGGCTCCGGCCCAGCTTCCCCCACCACAAGCGCGCCGGCCAACGTTCGGCCAACATACCCGCACTTCGTTACCCGTTTGGAGTCTCTGGTACCAACGCAGCCCTTTGCCTAGTGATTTACTCCCTGAACCTTCCCTCTGAAATGCGGCAGGACCCGGAAGTAGTTCATGACCGGGGGGGGGGGGGGGGGGGGGGAGAC